GGGGTGGGAGGGGGTAGAGGTGGAAGGGGTGTGGGAGGGGGTGTAATCTTCACGTGTCCTAACAACAGAACAGAAGATATGTGAATGGGATGAATTTGAGTGATTGGGCGAGGTGGACTATTTTTTTTTAAGGTTAAACACTGATCTGGATACATGAGGTGTGTGTGTGTGTGTGTGTGTATCTTATGGGATGGGTGGTAAGTCGCATAGTCTCTGATCTCCCCCCCCGAAAGTATTGGAGGTGGACAGTAAGAAAGTACAGTATGTGTTATTGAAGGTAAATAAACTCGAGAAAGCCTTGACTTAGCAATTGCTCCCTCACTTCATGTTGAATGTTGCTAGCAGTCGGAGAATTATATTTTTAAGTGTATTATAAAGCAAATACAACATCAACCTATCACGTAATCGGACAAAAATCGGGTCGTAAAAATCTAGCGTACGAATATGACGAAATGGAAGTTTTAAGGATTTCACAAATGTCATTCAAATCTACCTACTGTACACTGTTTATAACTACATCTAAAAGTCATTATAATACGGTAGCTTCAACATAAAAGGAGAGGTAGTTTATTTTATTACCCAACAATACACAAAATAAAACTATTTCTGAGACTATCGAAACTAACCCACAAACTTTGGCTTGGCGTAAGATGTTTCACCTTCTGTTAGAGTTTGGTAGCTGTGTAAACTTTTTTTTTGATTCCTTCTTCTCAAATTCAAACTTCTCGTCACACACAACTTTTAGCAGACACAAAATTTTTATTACTCAATTCTCGCCCCTACCACCACATGACACCACCATAACACCACCTCAAAACAACCCAACAACACAACCCACAACCACAATCACCACAACCCAGACCTCACCCCCTAACCACTAGGGTCGGCTTATAGAAAGCTTAAACCGATTTACTTAAATTGTATTCTGAAATTCAGTCCACTAAACATGGCTAGTCGAAAAGTCCTGGAAGTGGCAGGAAGCTAAACTGTAACTGAAGCTAAAGTGCGAATAGCTGAAGTTAATATTTCTGTAACTGAAGCTAGAATGTTGGTAACTGAAACTAGAATTTATGTATCTGGAGCAAATATTTGTTTAATTGAAGCCAGAGTTAGCGGTGCTGAAGTAAGGCTGTGTAACTGAAGCTGAAATATACAAGGATGTGACTAAAGCTGGAATTTATGCTGATGAAGCCACACTGTGTGAAAACTGAAACAAGGATGAGTGTGACTTAAGTGGCTGGTGGATGATATGAATTATAATGAAAAAAATTTTATCCATCTAAAAATCCTCTGAAATCCCAAAATTAACAATATGAATATTCAGTAGAGAACTATAACTCACCCACAGCGGCATGAGAGCCTCGGTCTTATGGCGTTTTATATGAAAATTTATATTTATATATATTGTACTATAATTAGGCTCTCAGGTGAAGGATATTAGGGTAAGTATGATGTGTACGTTATGGTGTTTTAGTGTGTGTGTGTGTGTGTGTGTGTGTGTGTGTGTATTTTGCGAAGGGAGTACCCACAGAGGCTTGGAAAACACTAACGGACAGGTGGTGTGAGGGTAAATGTGTGCCGGTGTAAAAGACCCGATTATACCCTCTGACCATTATAACCCCGGGTATAAACTAACCAAGGCTAGATACCACCCCGGGGGTTAAACTGGCCGAGGTTCTTTTAAACTCCCCAGGGCCAAAATAAACCTCTATACTTCAAGGGACTTTGAAATACATGTTGAGTTATGAAGTCGGCTAATGAGATGCCGATTCAGTGAATTGACGTTGACTTGGACTCAAAACGCATGTTGGGGCTTAGTTTAGTATTTACTTATTAAGTATAGAGTCTTATGTGCGTCTATTACAATGATGCCATTAACAGATAATTTCTCACAGCTCATCAAACTTCAGCAGGAGCGTTCGATCCTTTACCTTGTGGTTTTTCTCGATTTATTCATTTCTATTCGGCAATGGAATATCACAACTGTAAGGATTGATGTCACATGGCTGGCTTGGAATAAGTGAACTGCGATGATTCATGAGACGAGCTGATGACTCTTTCTGCTTGTTTCAACGTACTGTATATGCTGACAAAATTCTTGAGCCATTTATTCAGTTAATATCATCCAGTGATTTCGATTTGAAGCATTGACCGTTAAGTGATATTTTTTCGAAGTAGTTCGGACAAAATTTCATCACCTTTCTGTAGTCTCCAAATGTATCTATAGTTGCACTACTGTAGTTACCCAGTTTTATCAATTTTGCCAAAATAATATGTAAATTCTGGCGAAGGTGCGATAACGGCTTGCTGGTCTGGAAGGGGTGCGATAACGGCTTGTTGGTCTGGAAGGGGTGCGATAACGGCTTGTTTGTCTGGAAGGGGTGCGGACAGCAAAAAGAGGTAAAGAATCACTCACTGGTCTAAATGAAGTAACGATAACTGCAGTCGTAATAAGGTGTTGTGTGGCGCGGTTCAACTGACTAAGGGGTGTATTTTGCCCTGGGGAGATTATTCCAGCCTAGGCCGAGGTAGTCTCCACGGTGGTATCTGGCCTAGGCCAAAATAAACCCGGGGTTAAATTGGTCTGACCCATTTTAACCCCAGGTCTAATTTGGCGGGAGTTTATTCTGGCCTGCTACACCGGTAATGCGATCAACACCTGCTAACCCCCGCTACTAACTACACTCTCACGCATAAGGAGTTCGAACCTGTGTACCACTTTAGCCCGTGAGGGTCAAGAGACTCCTATTCTCCCTCTTCTCCATCTTCCTCTGCCGTCAACACCGAATCCAATTACTTAATCCGATTAATTTTCACCAGTTCTGAGCCTGTCTCCTCCCCTCTTGCTACACAACATAATCTCCGTCTTCCCTGGGTTCATTTCCCACCTTCGATTGGTACAACTCTCCTCCTTGCAGTTCCTCATCGCTGCTACTGCTGCTGTGGCCACATCATACGCACACAGGAGCCCCCGCAACAACCCACCAGTTCCTATGTTCTCACTTGGTATATTTATCACAATCACAAAGAGTAAGGCACGCTGAACTATGATAAAGACCAAATTTAGCTCCTATGTACAGTCCCCCCAATAAAGTATCGTTAGCCATGGGATCGATGTGATTCGAATGATGTGAATCCTACGAGGCTTCAGATCACATATTACACGACTCGGAGTGGATGTTGTAAATGGAAACCAACGCCATGCCAGTCATCAACGGGATCTTACATCTACTGGGGCGAGGAATTATTGAGGAGACATCACAAGATGAGAGAGGTGCTATTATTGGCCTTCACAACGATGGTATATACGTAACGCTGAGATAGCACGGAGAACTGGGATGAGTGAACCCACAGTATCACGATGGGTTAGGTGCCATGAAACAACTGGCGCCACACTGAAACACAACCACAAATGTCTTACTTTAGGTGGGCGGAGGGTTGGGGGGTTCTGTTCCCGCAAGTCCATTGATTTGAAACCTGATTTCGGTATTAAACCAATACAGTTTATACACCAGTAACATGGCAGATCCCATGTAGACCGAGATATTGTTTATTACTGTAGCTGTTCACTCTAATATCAAGTATTATTTGCTTAGTCACTCTTCATAAATGAGACATATCGTGAACAACATGAGTAGGCATATTGTGAAACTCAGTATGAATGAAATTCTGTTAGTACAATGACGTAATGGTGAAATGTCCGTTTTGAGGTCTATATCCGTCTCAGTTATGACGTTCCGAAACCCTTCCATTTAATGTACATTTCAGTGTCATTGTAATCATCAGTCAGTGGTTTGTTTACATATGCCTTGCTTCTACCCAGCATGATACATACATTAATATAGCTTAATGGATTTCTTGTTATATTTAAGTATTTAGTATAGCATACAAGGACGACTCCCTTTCCCCAGTCCTACCTCCATCTCTAGCTGTTGTTGATATGGCGAGCAGGCGTACCAACTTATGATAATGCACTGGGGATCACATCAAAGAATTTCGTCTAGTTTCAACTTGTAGCGACGGAAATTCTAACGATACTTTTTTTTGGGGGGGGGGACTGTACATTCCCTCCACAATTTTAATAATTTATTTCAATGAACCTTTCCTCCGATATCACCACACCACATTTTTCTTGGGACAGTACCATTATACCTTCTCCAGACCCACACAAACACGCATTGCATATTCCTTTTTCCCTTTAAAATCTTCTCTTGAATTTGACGTGTAATATAGATACCATCCACTGTTCCTTTCCCCTTCATGAATGTATATTGCATTTCATCAACATGCATCTATTTACAAGGGGGGAGGGGTAAGGTTTGATGCATGCATGAATACTAGTATGAAAGGTAATTCAAAATGTTTCCAAATTTAGGCTATACGACACAATTTTCCCTGTTGAATAATGTTACATTGAGGTGAGACGAGAGAGGGAGACAAAGGATAGGAAGTGAGGAGAGTGGAGTGAGAGGAGAGAGGTGGTGAGAGAAACGGATCCCTCTCACCAGGAGGAGGGGAGGTGAGGAGAGTGGAGTGAGAGGAGAGAGGTGGTGAGAGAAACGCGTCCCTCTCACCAGGAGGAGGGGAGGTGAGGAGAGTGGAGTGAGAGGAGAGAGGTGGTGAGAGAAACGGATCCCTCTCACCAGGAGGAGGGGAGGTGAGGAGAGTGGAGTGAGAGGAGAGAGGTGGTGAGAGAAACGGATCCCTCTCACCAGGAGGAGGGGAGGTGAGGAGAGTGAGTGAGAGGAGAGGTGGTGAGAGAAACGCGTCCCTCTCACCAGGAGGAGGGGAGGTGAGGAGAGTGGAGTGAGAGGAGAGAGGTAGTGAGAGAAACGGATCCCTCTCACCAGGAGGAGGGGAGGTGAGGAGAGTGGAGTGAGAGGAGAGAGGTGGTGAGAGAAACGCGTGAGGGAGAAGAGAACCTTTCACCTAGACGGAATGGACCACAGCCTTCACGCTTGACATCCTCCTCCTCCCTATTGAAGCATCTGTGATACATATTAACCTGAACTGTTGGAGATACGTCTGTCCTCGTTGGAGATACGTCTGTCCTCGTTGGAGATACGTCTGTCCTCGTTGGAGATACGTCTGTCCTCGGTGGGGATAAGTCTGTCCTCGTTGGGGATAAGTCTGTCCTCGTTGGGGATAAGTCTGTCCTCGTTGGAGATACGTCTGTCCTCGTTGGAGATACGTCTGTCCTCGTTGGAGATACGTCTGTCCTCGTTGGAGATAAGTCGTCCTCGTTGAGATAAGTCTGTCCTCGTTGGAGATACGTCTGTCCTCGTTGGAGATAAGTCCTCGGGGGGGATAAGTCTGTCCTCGGTGGGGATACGTCTGTCCTCGTTGGAGATACGTCTGTCTTCGTTGGAGATAAGTCTGTCCTCGTTGGAGATACGTCTGTCCTCGTTGGAGATAAGTCTGTCCTCGTTGGAGATACGTCTGTCCTCGTTGGAGATACGTCTGTCCTCGTTGGAGATACGTCTGTCCTCGTTGGAGATAAGTCTGTCCTCGTTGGAGATAAGTCTGTCCTCGGTGGGGATACGTCTGTCCTCGTTGGAGATACGTCTGTCCTCGTTGGAGATAAGTCTGTCCTCGTTGGAGATACGTCTGTCCTCGTTGGAGATAAGTCTGTCCTCGTTGAAGATACGTCTGTCCTCGTTGAAGATAAGTCTGTCCTCGTTGGAGATAAGTCTGTCCTCGTTGGAGATACGTCTGTCCTCGTTGGAGATAAGTCTGTCCTCGTTGGAGATAAGTCTGTCCTCGTTGGAGATACGTCTGTCCTCGGTGGAGATAAGTCTGTCCTCGTTGGAGATAAGTCTGTCCTCGTTGGAGATAAGTCTGTCCTCGTTGGAGATAAGTCTGTCCTCGGTGGAGATAAGTCTGTCCTCGGTGGAGATAAGTCTGTCCTCGGTGGAGATAAGTCTGTCCTCGGTGGAGATAAGTCTGTCCTCCTAAATTAATTCATGTAAATTTTGTCTTGAGTCGGTTACTCCCAGTTGAGAGACAGGTGTTCACTCCACCTCGAAAGACAACACACTGACTCGAATCTATGTGATTGATTCTAAAGTCTTCCAAAAAAAAAAATCAAATTACGTACTAACATCAATACAAATCTAAACTATTATTAAACTCAGAAAGAAGATTAGTGGTGTTTGTGTATTTTTTCCTCATAATTACCATAGGTGATAGTTCAACATGAAGTTTTGTTTGATGACGTCACATCTTGTTGAGATAAAAACACAATAGAATAATTAAACCATTACTTGTCGATTTGGCAACTTAGAATGACTATTTTGTCTCTGCTGTGTAGTACACAGTGGCGGCTCGTGAAAAATAAAATGGAGGGACTGCAAGCCTCACACAACAGTAGGATACACAAATTTGACCTACCTCAGGTATGAGTTGTAGTTGATGTCCACGAATTCCCAGGGCATGGTAGTAGTGTTGGTGGTGATGGACCAGTATTAATTGAAAATAAAGTCGGCGTGTCTGCTCTTCGATGTAGCAAAATTGTTTATTACTGGAAAGCAGAATAAAGTATTTGCCTCGTCACAACCACAGAGCCATAAACACTGATGTTAAACTGGCGTGTATATTCTTTGTTCCTGCTTGTACTGTTCTGTTGAATGGATAAAACTGGTGTAGGTCTTCCTCTTGCTTTGATTTCAGTCTTTTCATTTAATGTCAGCTGGGAAAAGTTGATGTTTTGCAAATACTTCACTCGATTTTCCATCGTCAAAGGGTAATTAAAGAAAGCACGATTTAACCACACCGTCCACACGTTGTACGAGACTGAGCTGCTTCAAGTGCAGCTCATTATGCGGCGGCGGCGCCAATTAATAACAGACATGAATCGTACAGCATTGACAGCAACTATGAAAGTAACTTAAATTTTGGTCTGATTTTAATGAAAATTCACTTAGCAACGTATTGAAAATAATTAAATAACATATAAAATGATATATTTGTTGGTAGTGTATTATTCAGCTGTCTCTCTAAAGGAATCATACGCCTGGCAGTGAGTGTCTGGGGGGACTGCAGCCCTATGCACGAGCCGCCACTGGTAGTACAGATATAAAGGAACCAGCGCTTCCTTAAACTGATCATGAAGAGTTTGTATCCTCAGTGTGGGCTACAATAAACGCCTGCATCCTCGGTCTAGGTACAGTAAGTGGCTGTAACCTCAGCGTGGACTACAAAAGCTGTGTCTGTCTCGGGTGACGGTGGGTGTAGGTGTTGGCTGGTGGTTTGTTTACTCTGTACACAAGTGGGGTGTCAGGCCCCACGCCATGGTAGTTGGAGGATAGGAGGGAGGCGAGGGAAGGATGGAGGCGAGAGAAGGAAGGAAGGGCAGTAAGGAGGTAAGGGAGGGAAGGAGGTAGGAGAAGGAAGGCGGGAGGGGAAGGAAGGAGGGAGGTGAGGGAAGGAGGGAGGCGAGAGAAGGAGGAACGGAGGGAGGGGACGGAAGGAGAGAAGGGGTATAGAATAAACACAAGCTAACCATCGTCTAATTTTCTGTTTTATTTTTTCCATCCCACACCCTCAGGCTGCGAGTACTGGTAAGTGTTCGCCATGTTTACTCGGCAGGGGTGAGAGAAGTGAAGATGGTAGGGGTGTAGGGGGGTGTATGTGACACAGTTGTCATGTTACTGATTCCTGATGGTTAATTATGGAGGTAACTATGGCTCAGAGATAAATGTTTACATATTCCGTAAATATATTTAAGAAGAAGAAAAAATATATATATAAGTATGTAAAGGAAGAAAGGATAACATACGGTAAAATATTGAAACTTTCCACGCAGTGACGTTAAGAATGTCAGTAGCCAATCATAATGCAGCCGAGGTATTGTCAGGCTCACAAAAGTATTAAAGCTTATTATCAGCGCTGACTTCTCACAATGAATAGGCGGAAAGGACACCTAGTATTACGAGGAAGAATTGTAAGCCTGAGGGAAAGTGGCAACTTCCACCTGCATCAAACTCTGTGACTACCACCAACCCCTAACCGAGTAAGCGTCCACCACCCATCCCTGTCGCCACCTCAGACAGTGTTACCAGAATAACGGAACTCTACCAACTGCTTCGAGCTCATTGGTATCCCATTATGTAAGGTTCGATAGGTGAGGTACTGAAGACTGATGAAAATATAAATAAAATATAGAAATAATAGACAAATAGCATTAAGTGAATTATATACCTATTATACAAAAATAAAAGTATGATAAATGAATAAATAATGGAATGAATATTTTAAGAAAGGTGAATAAATGAATAACACTTACCCAAGAGAGGTTGAAGGTTCGGTATAGCAACGATGGTAAAAAAAATTTGTGACCAAAATTTACATATAAATACAAGAGACAAATATAAATGAATATAAATTAAGAATACTGAGAAAAGAGATGAAAAGTCATAAACAGTATTGGAGAGAGAGAGAGAGAGAGAGAGAGAGGTCTTACAGGGGTCAACTTCATAACACTCACTCACACATCCTACACAACCGCTCACCTAACACACACCAAGGAGAGTTAGTGGGTGTAGCAGCAAGAGCTTGTACAGCACGTGATACTAGAGGTATACCTTAGTTTACCTTAAGGCGTGTTGTATACGTTCAGGGACAGTAATTAGCCTCAAGGTTGTGTCGTCTCAGATTGCCATAGTCCAAGACGAAGGTTCCAATTTTAGACGGGGATAACTGTAATACGTGTGTGTGTGTGTGTGTGTGTGTGTGTGTGTGCGTGCGCTAATAATCACAATTATTTTAGTAAAAGTCAACTAATGAAGAGAAAGGAATTCAATTAGAAATAATTTTATTTAATATTATGTCAAATGGTATAAACAAAGCAGAGCAGGTCAAGGTGTGAGAGATTAAAGTTGCCGAGGAAAAAGTCACAATACATTTTCTCTACTTAAAACTAATGGAGTCTTCTGAAAAGCAATTTACTTAATGTGTATTTGTGTGTGTGCGTCACTTCGTGTGTGTGCGTCACCTCGTGTGTGTGTGTGTGTGTGTCCCCAAGGAGCGTATACCCCCCCCCCCCCAAGACGCAGATATTGTCTGACTGGCTTAGGAGAGGATCAGGGAGCGCTTTAATTAACCCATGTGTGAGGTTGGAGAGGAGGTGGTGGAGGTGGTAGTGCCGTAAGGTGCCCGGGGCCGCCATCTCCTTAACCCAGAAGAAATTTTTACTAATTTTATAACTTCGCAAAACACATCATATGAGTCAAGTAAAATATTGATACTTTCACTAGGAACAATATGGGAAAAATTGCCAGATGGTGTAGGTCGGTCTGTCTGTCTGTCTGTCTCTCAGTGGGGTGAATATTAGGAACTAGTAGTGAAGGCAAAGTCAGTATCAACACTGTAGCTGCCAACATTACTATATTGTAGTACCCAACATAATGACACTAAGCTGCCAACATCACATTATTGTAGTAGCCAAATCCACAACACTAAGCTGCCAACATCACAATATTATAGTATTCAACATCACAATACTGTAGCTGCCAACATCACAACCAACACTATAAGCTGCCAACATCACAATACTGTAGCTGCCAACATCACAACCAACACTATAAGCTGCCAACATCACAATACTGTAGTTGCCAACATCGCAACAGTGTAGCTTCTGCCCTCATCACAACACTATAGCTGCCCTCATCACAACACTATAGCTGCCAACATCACAACACAATAGCTGCCAACATCACAACACAATAGCTGCCAACATCACAACACAATAGCTGCCAACATCACAACACAATAGCTGCCAACATCACAATATTGTAGCAGCCAACATCACACTACTGTATCTACCAACATCACAACAATGCACCAGCCAACATTCCAATAATTAATGCAATGGCAACATTCGCCTTCAAATGCACTGTAGGACATCAGTGAAAGTTATCGTCACAAAAGTTTGCTCTCTTGTTGGTGCTTGTGTCAGACATCTAAACGATAATATCAACAATAAAATAATTCGCCTTTGCTGTTATTTGTAGCACCATTTTACCCGTAAGTAAAACAGAACACTCGCTCTAGTAATCCACCTGACATGATAGTTGGGGTATTTTAACACCGGCTCTCGTTATTGGATCAGTAAACACTACAGATCAATGAATGTCCCTCAGCGGGGAAAAATAATCTTGAAATCAATTTGATTGAGGTTTATTACTGTGAATGCCAACGACAGACATTGTTAAATGTCGTTTCGTGACTAAGAGTAAAATAAATAATGTTGACGAATATTCATCAATTAAATCATTTTGGCAAATACAGAAACTGATCAGTGAAGCCTCAGCTAAAACTAATAACAGAGATAGTGGATATTAACACTAACTACTGATTGCCTTTTAGTAAATAATAATAATCCTTTTATAAACGTCGATTAAAGGGAAACAGCATTTGAACTTTGCGATAAAACTCTAAAGCAAACTCATTGTATTATTGAATGTGACACCGGTGACCTCAACCCCTCTGGCCTACTTTTTTTTTTATTATTATTTATTGGGCACTCCCCTACATCCTTGTGTAAGGTGAAACGCAGAAGCGTTTACAGCGCCCAACAGGGAAGCATGCTAAGTTCATGCTTGCCTTTATGTCTCACGAGTTAAGGGCGTAGAAGCCTGAAGAGTCAAGGGCGTAGAAGCCTGAAGAGTCAGTGGTTTATGTCATGAAGTTATTGGAAGCTCCAACAACTTTCCCTGAATACGAATTCGCAATTTTCGATTTACACCAGGTACCTACTTTACTGCTAGGTGAACAGGGACTAGTGGGGGTTAGGAAGGAAGTCCAACCAACTTCCACCGGCCCGCCTCTGGCCTACTCTACAATATACGGCATGTAACTACGGTACTCCATTGCCTCAGAAGTTCTTGAAAATATCGTGACTATGTTTTATAAATTCGCCCGCCCACACTTATTGTTCAATTTATGATGAAATAAATGAGTACGGTAAATTTTGCGCTTTGTACATTACAGTTGTGGACAAAAAGAATTTGCAGGGAGGGAGGGAGGGGGTGTATGGGAGGGTAGGGGGAAGGTGGAGATTTGGCAAGTTACACACAGCTGGCGATTAAAAGTCTACGATTTTCTTTCCACACTACAAACTGATTTTTTTTAGTTTAATTATAAGGCAGACGCAATCCATTCACGCGTTTGCGGTTGCGTTAGCGTTAGCGCCAAAAATAAATCACATATATATATATATATATATATATATATATATATATATATATATATATATATATATATATATATATATATATATATATATATATATACTGTATATTTCACTTTTTGAAGGTCACTACGAGTCACAACGAGTTGCCAGTAAACATAACGTGGGTTTGTTGACGTCTTATTACTGGGTCGCAGGCCCAGCAGCTCCACGTGTCGAGCGAAACATTTGCAAGAAGTTCATAAATAATTATTGTGATTGAAGAAATTGCTCAATACCGAGATTATCTTATTTATACAGTCTCTATCTGTATTGATTTTTTCACATACCTTTTGAAATTAATATTAGTTAAATCAAAACTTTGAAGTAACTTATGCCAGAAGCTTATTCTCACATTAGTCATCTCCCGATAACAACCACCAATCACCCGATCAGAGTACCGTCCTCATGTCTGAGGGATGGCAACCACAGTCCTCCACTCTCAACGTTCTCGGGGTGTTTTTACCAATCCTCTGATATTTTGTACCTCAAATCTTTGGTTTATTCGAATAATAAAGTAAAGATAACCAAGGTATTTGGTTATTCATTCAATGAGACAATCATTTAATCAATTATGAGCCATTTTTTGCAGTGTCTCTATTGAGCTATTCTTGCAGTGTCTCTATTGAGCTATTTCCTGTAGATGTATCGTGACTCAGAAGCTTCCGGCATGTAAACAAATCATTGTAACTCGCTTTAAACGGAACTCAACTTTTAAATACTGTAGACTACAGTATTTAATGTAAAGTATGCAATGATTTTTCATTATTTTGTAATTTAAGAAGTAAAACAATATTTCAAGTGGGTATGTGTGTGTGTGGAAGTAAAACTTGTAGCAAGGGAAGATATTCTAATCGAACTCAGGGAAAAATGTCTGTATATACTGTATATATATATATATATATATATATATATATATATATATATATATATATATATATATATATATATATATATATATATATATATATATATATATATATATATATATATATATATATATAACACATACATTTATACAGTAATACCCGCTTTACGCTGTTCTCGTTTACGCGTTTCTATATTTACTCAGTACCTTGCCAGAACCGGAATTCCCACTTTACGCATTGCATCTACTCATATACGCAGGTGAAGTATAATTTTTATATTTAGCTCATAAAATTCATACAAATTACCCGGCCAGAATATAATTTACATTGCTAGAATTCTTACAATATGATGATCATACAAATTTTAGATCTAATGTAAGAATTTTGTTTACTCAGAGCAAATATGTTATCTTGCATGCAAAATATATGATGTGTATATTCAAAATATTCCTGGTCTTGCAAGGAATCTAGCAATGTCAATTATGTTATCCTAACTTTAGTTTGAGGTATTATTTATTACTATACCTAAAAATCTAGTGTTTTCACCCAAACATTTCTCAGAGAGGGAGGAGCCAGCGAGCGTGGGAAGAGAGGGGGGGGGATGTTGAGTCCATTATTTGAATGGACATTAACCTGGCGACTGTATTTCTCTTCAATTTTAATTGTGTGTGCATACCATCATAAAATTAAGATGTTATTTTTACTACAACATAGGTATTCTGTCAGAAAAAGTGGAGTTTGGGAGTCGGCCCAGTCTCTATTTCAATTAATCCCATATGTTCTGTTATTCCATTTACGCGTTACTCGTTTTATGCGGACCCCTGCAGGTTCAATTGACCGCGTAAATCCGGGTATTACTGTGTGTGTGTATATATATATATATATATATATATATATATATATATATATATATATATATATATATATATATATATATATATATATATATATATATATATATATATATATATATATATATATATATATACTTGCTCATACCCTGACCTTGCATAAAAACGTGAACCTTTAGCTGCCAAAGTAGTTCACAACCATTTAATGTACAGTACAGATAATACGGTACCATAGGTCAAGGTGAAGTTTTGACATGTACAAATACAACTGGCATAAAATATCAACATCTAACACTTTTAGCTTATATTTGTTTTAATTTCATTACATATGCAAGATTTTGTTCATTTGAAGTATCCGAGACTGGGTAGCTTAATATAATCTTGAATTTCAGAACTGATGAAGGGGTTGACTTCATATATTTCTGAAGGAGGGTGGAAGTTGTGGAACCTCACATTTCCGTATCCCTGATGGGGACGAGACCCTACACATCACTTTCATGAATGAGATGAGACCCTGTACATTGGAATTCATAATTTGAGTACGGTAAGCCTTATATGTTAACAATTCCCGAAGGGATGACACACTAGTATCCAATAGTGAGAAGGGGTTTTAAGCATTTTAGAATGTACTCGGAAAACTTGGTGAACCTGTCTGTGGTGAGGGGAGACAAGTCAAAGCCATGGTGTTGTCCCAGTACCTATTGGCTGGCAGTATGTTGCCGATTAAATACCGTATTTGAATGTTTATCAAACTTGACTATTGGTTTATATTAATTGATCACTTCCTCTAACAACAGTATGAAATTCTCTGTAGCTATAACCTTTATGAGTGAAGTACAGTATCATTTCTGTGCAAATCACTTTGGTTATATGAACACTTCCAATCTTGTCTTGAAAAGGTTGCACTGTTTCTTGTGTTTAATTCTAGTTTTAGCGCATACTTCAATGATGGTGAATCTTGTATTTTTGCATGGGTTGGGGGGATGGTGGGTTGGTAGTGATTCTCAATCCAACATAAAAAAATAGCACCTATCATCCACAAATCACATTGGGACATGAAAAAGGTATTGGCTTTCTCCCCTACACTGTGAGTAGTCAATGGGGGAGGATGAAACCCCATTAACTTCCCCATGCACCCCTAAACTCCTCCACCAACCCCTTTAACTCCCTCACCCACCTCTTTAACTCCCTCACCCACCCCTTTAACTCTCCCCACTAACCCTTTAACTCCTCCACCCATTCCCTTAACGCCTGCTCGCCTCAGTCCGGTATAAATGGATCCCTTGTTAACGTTGCAACACGTAAGAGGATTGTCAACAGTCCTCACTACAGAGTCTACATGTAAAGTTGTGTTAACACCTGTTTTCCTGGGCCTGACTCGGATGAACAGATAGACAGGCTTACAAACAGACATCCAGACAGAGAGCAATAAGAGGAGAATAAGACAGAGAGATGGGGGAGCATGGAGAGTGGTTGTGAGTGGAAGAGGGAAATGGGCAGCCACTCAGGCAGTGTGTGGGGGAGACAAATAGAAAAGTGAAAGTGAGGGGAATTTATTTTTTAATTTGCTATCTATAACAGCTAGTTTATTGTGCACCCCATACTCATCCTGTGAGCAGTAGTGCAAAAGGATTACAGAGTAGAAGTCACAAGGGGTGTATATAACAAACTCTAGTGGTCCGAATATTATACTTTTACTTTTTACTTTTATCCTTTTCGCCACTGATTAGCTCATTAGTTGCTTGGGTGTTCGTGTCTCTGTTACGTACTCTTGGCTAGTACTTGGCATTTACTGGCTCCAAAATGTATCTGTACCTGTGCCAGTGTTGGTCAAGTTTGGTCTTGAAAGAGCTCACACTCTGGGCCACCACAACAGTCTCCGGCAGATTGTTCAAAGAGTTTACAATTCTCACTCCGAAAAAGTATACAGTACCTGGTTCTTTCCTGATATTAAATACTGTATTGTTTTATTTTGCATTTTTTCGAGTTTGTCAGTGCCTTAACTGTCACAAAAGACCAGGGTTAGTGCATGGTAATCTATCAAAGATTTTATATGGCCTAGGTATATTGATTTAACAATTCTAATACTGTATTAGCACCATAATGTGGGCTGTACCCTGCTACACTTCTAAGGGGTTTCAGTCTGTCAGTAATTTGGCAGGTTAGTTGTTGTATGGCAGGTAAGGTACAAGGGATGGAAACACCAAGATATTTAAAAGAGACAGTCAGTAGTGTTGTTACCTATTTTAAACTTGGCAGGGCCACGTTTGCGGTTACCAACTTGTTTGTTGAACACCTTAGTTTTCTCAGTGGAGATAATAAGACTGAGGTTCTCACAGGCTGCGTGTACAGTAGCTAAAACAATTATCTGTGCATACTTTGTGGGAAACAATGAGACCATGGACGATAAATTTTGGTATATGAGGCTGTCACTAGTCACACGTAAAATTTCGGAGCATAACGACCCCCACCTGCACAGATATTTGTTTTAGCAACTGTACATGGTTCAGGGTGGTTTCCATTTTACGATGAGTTTTAGTGTGTAGAAGAATATCAAGTATCAGGTTTCACTAAGTCCTGCAACAGTCCATTGGCTTTCAGTGAACAACTCCCGCTCTACAAAAACTTACTTATATGAATTTTATTTTATTAATTTTCTAATGTGTTAGGTACTAAATTACAGTAGTTCCATAAGTACTAAATTACAATATAATATGTCAATTTACAGTAGCAGTCAGTTCTCCTGAAACTTATCTTTTCATAATGCAATAAATGTACTGTATTATGGAATAAATTTTTTACAATGCAGATACAAATTGGATATACATACTGTAACTTGACTGAGTAAAGTAAATAGGTCTATCAAGTAGGAACATGTGTTATCACAGACTGTGCTTTACCTTAGTGTCAACTTTGTTGCTATTAATTATAATAAGTGGAAAGAGTGTGAAGCGTTCAGGTGGTGGAAGTGAAGAGAAAAAAAGAAAAGCTTTTACTCTTGAACAAAAACTGTTGTCAGACTGACTCCACCTCCTCCTCCACCACTCTAACCCCCCTGAACTACCTTTACACTGCAGCATGTTTATAACTTGTCTGTACTTGTTTGGGGAAAAAATACTGTACATATAAACTTATTTAATACTCTAAAGTGGCTTAGAAATAAAGAAAATATAATATAAACTATTTAATAATAAAAATTAAAAGCATACCGGTAGGTGTACGTATATGTGTATATATTACTGTACCTATAAGGGGAACCAGAATATACGTGAATTTGCACTTATGCTGGAACTCAGGATCGTAACCCTCGCATACATTAAGACCCTACTTTACTGTACAGTATACTGTACTACTTGTATCCATCTGACTACCTGTATTAAGGATATAGAAACAGTGTTAAAGTCCTCTCATCAATACAATTTATTAAAACAAAATACTACAAATGCATTTATACTGTAATTATCCTACATGTAATTAAAGTTGTAAATCTGTTTCTTACATAATTCTGAGTTGTAGTGAAAGACTGTATTCAAGAATTCATATTATTAAAAAGATATTCTAAAAAAAATAGAGAAAATACTGCAATATTTATTGATAATATTTTCATTTGCTACTAAAAGTTTCTTGCACAAAAAATAAAAAAATAATCAAGAACTGTACATGATGAAGCCACACATCAAAAATGACACAAAATTATTTACAAAACATATTAACAAATTACTTTAAAACAATGTAAATACAGTATTGTACTGTATAAAGTTCTGAGACTTCAATTCATTTGTTGTCAACTTCATTAACAATAAGCATTGAACTCTCTGATTCTTCTTTCTCTACTGTTGTCTCTTCATCCGAGTCATAACGTGCACCAGTGTCTGGGGGCAGTTCATGAGTGGCCATGACTCCAGGTGCTTCACCAATCCCTGCGACAGCTTGAATAGTTGAGCAAACCTCAGAGTACAGCTGGTGCACTAGACTACTCATATGAGTAACATCTTTTACTACCACAGGCTTATCTTGAGGGAGCTGAGTGTAAGGTCGGTCAGTAGGTATGTATTCCCATGGGGCTAAATGTAACTGTAGTGGACGCTTCGCAAGAATAGAAAATGCTGGTTGAAGTTCATAACAGTTCTTGAAGAGTGAAACACGAGCAAATATGTAGAGGCCAAGCCTGGCACGTGACATGGCGACAACGAGACGTCTCACATCCCTGAGGTGACCTACGGCACGTGTCCTAACGAGGGACAGTAGGATGTAATCATTTTGTTGGCCTTGGTATTTATCCACAGTACTGATCTTGTGAGGGCGACCAAACAGTGGATTCCGGGCACATCTCTGTTCAACCACATCACGTAACAACTCTTTTTGGCCATTGTAAGTGGTTAGCAATGAAATTTTTGATGCTGGACATCCTATCAGCCTCATATACATATACAAATGAACTACATACTCTGCCTCAGCTAAGTTCTGGTAGAAATATTTTCGTGGCTCTGACTCTCCACGCCCTTCAAGGTCATCAACATTGATAAGCTGGTACTCATAAAATATTCCAGCATTAGCAATGCGAAATTCTGGCCATGAAATTACATGAGGCAAGTCACCCAAGTTTTTATATCTCCAGTTGTAAAGTGCACAAATCGAAGGACGAGCACGTCCCTGAGCATCTAGCTGAACTGTTGGAACACCCAACCTTACAAACCGCGTGAACAAGCTCTGCTCACAGTTGCTGTACTTTTGAAAAGCCATATTTTTGATGACAGGTGGCAACTGATGATGATCACCGATCATAACCCAACGTTTGAGACGATTGCGGCCATCTTCTGGATTTTGTAGAAGCAATGGAATGAATGTTTCAATTTCTAGAATCTGGGCACTTTCTTCCATCAAGATGTTATCAAACTGAAAACCCAAATCTACAAGCTCTCGACGTTTGAGAGCAGCATGTGTGCACGTCATGGCAATAATTTTAGCTTCCTTAACCAGCAAATACCTTGTACGATCAAGACCACTCCTAAGCATTTCAAATGCACGGAATTCTTTTAATTGTGTAAATATATTTCCTAGGTATCGGAAGCACCCCTCAGCAATTTCCATATCTTCTTCATAACTTTTCCCTTTGAACAATGGTTGTGGTGCATTACTAAAGAAAACATGGAAAGGAAATAGTTCATTTATTTGTTGAACATTAACTGGCTTGCCAGGAGTGGCAGTAACCAAACTAAGGTAACGTTCCCAGCGAGCTAAAACATGTTGCAGGAAAAAGTAACCGGCCGTTTCACAGGAAGCGCCCATCTCACCAGCTACACCGAGTGATTCCTTGAGGCGCGTTACTTCATCTAATAACTCAAGTCGTTTACTGAGAACGTAGTTGACTCGGCCATACCGACTGAAGTCTTTTTCCGTTTCCAAGGCTTCTTCACCATGACCTAAACGTAAAAGATGCCGCTCATCAACATCCAGGGCAATGACCTTTTCAAAAAGCTGGTTAAGAGCCTGATTAGAGTGGGTGACAACAAGGGTTCGTTCAGCTGGGTTATTATGATATATGTTGGAAATAATCTGTACAGCAACATCCGTCTTGCCTGTGCCTGGAGGTCCCACTACCATAGTTAGACCAGGCTGCATACCAGAGCGAATGGCTTCCACTTGAGTGGGTGTGAACTGCACCCGGTTCTTACGTGGTACAGTATATGGATAGGGACCTCGACTTGGTACAACATATGGCTCCACGTGAATCACTTTCTCTACTTTGTTATCCTCTTCCTCAGCTGGTCGCTTACTCGACTTTTGATCTTCGAAAGATAGTTTGAATGGAGGCCGCATAACAGCTTTTAAATTATGATTAATGGTATAGCCTGGAAAACTCTTCTTCAGGTGATCAAAACCCAGGAAAGTGTCATTGAAATCTAAAGTGGCCAGAGCATTTTCTCTATGTGAATAATGAGCAGCTCCAGGATCACCATATCCAAGAATGATGTCCAACAACCAATCTGGTACAACACATTTTGTGTTCATCAAGTCACGGATAGTTTCTAGGACAGCTTTGAAATTGTTCTCCTTGGGTTTCCTTCTCATTAAGACATTGAAGGTCTCATATACATCTTCACCACCATCATTGGATTTAATATTGTCCATGTCAATCTTATACTGATTGCAGTCGAGCCAAACACGGAATGTTCTGGTCTCTCCTTTCAGCTCTGGTTTAGGCTCTGGTCCTTCCTCAATAACTCGACCATTTTCATCCAGCATGCCCTCCACCTCACATCCACGGATGTACCTGATACCCCATTCATCTGGAAAATATCCTTCAGGATTAGGGAATGCCATTGGGTGGATGATGGAAAGGAGGAGACACACATCATGCTTCCTCAAAGCTTCCCATTCACTTTTTATCTCTCTTCTTACACTCAAATTAACTGTGATGTCTGCTCGAACTCTTGATGGTTTATCTTCCCCAACATTGGGTTTAGCCACTTCACACACGGCAAAATTTACAATAGGCTGTGCCATACGAGCCCATCCCCTGAAAACAACATTTCTATCTTCTGCTGACCATGGATTCAATCTCATCACAATGTCTTCTATGTCCTGACGAATTTCATATGTTGACTCTAATCTAAACAGGTCAAAGTTCCTCAGAAGATAATCATGCAAAGTTAGGAATTGCAGATTCAGTTTAGGTAATGCCAAACAAGCATCACCAGAGAAATACTCTGAAGGAACAATGTTATCATCCCAAATTATCTGTTCTGTTGGATATAGTGGCATACGATTTATTGCTTCTAGCTGTGAGATACGTCGCTGGTATTTCCAAAGCATCGATTCTATCAGATATTTTCTATTGCATTCATTTTCATCTTCTTTAGGAAGCAGGTGAAGTAACTTACATAAGTTCTTCAACTCATCATCTTCTAGCTGTTCTACAAATTGTCTTAATGTTTCTGTGTCATCAACTGCAGCCACACTGGAGAAGCTGAACTGTGTCAATTGGGGAAAGTTTCTAAATGTAATGCTTTGTACTCGCTTCACCTGATTATAGTGAATTTTCATCACATCTAGATCAGAGAGGGGTTGTCCTGTGTTATCATTTATCTCAAATTGTCCAAAAACCTTTAATATATGCAGTAACTGTGAAAACAACTTACCCTCTTCTCTGGTAGCCAGTGAAGATAACTGACATTTAACAAGTAGGTTGCAAGAATGCAGAAGGGTGTTAAAAAACCTTCTTGTAGGTAACTGAGACTCGAGGTCAATCATGAGTTCCAGAAACCTTTCACAGTAGTGAACAACATCTGTTTTAACTTCCTCCTCTCCTGCAGGTATGGTTGATAATTTTTTGAGGAATTGCTGCATGAGGGAATACAAGAAATTGGTATCAAAATCAAACTTCTCTAACTCTACACCTGAAAGCTTCTTTCTGTGGCGTGCTGTTCTCTTCAATGCCTTTGACCAGTTGGGGAATTCTTTTAGAACGGCTTGAAGCTGACCTTCTGAAAGGCACTCTAAGATGTTATAAGATACAGTGTGGCTAATTCCATTACGTATGAGGTCTGTTTCAATACTGTTATATAAATGGTTGAGAAATACTACCACGTGAGTTTGTTCTTTCTGAGAAAATTTGTCGGTGGAGTCCAAACATGCTTTCATAAGATGCCTCAGAAAGTCACTAAAAGGTTGTGGGTGTTTCACAAATGAATCCCAGGCAGGAACACGTTCACGAAATTTCTCATTAACTAGGATGACAACAGACATAAGATGAGCAGAGGAAGCATTCTCTGAGTAGTTGGGCCAGATATAATTTTCCAAGTATTGACTTAGTTCTAACACAACAATGCGCCGCGTGGCAAAATCAGTCGCTCTAACTTCACTTTCGTAGACATCATCAATCACTTGGGGGTCAAAGGGAAGATGGGAGTCTCTGGTGTCAGGTGACCAGTACTGCTGTGCCAAGAAAGTCACACGATCAGCACTGATTTGGTCAACTGTTAGCCCCTTCATTTTTCTTCTTATACCAATGTATCCTTCATATGTTTGTACTGTAGGTGTACCAGTTATCTGGAAAGTAAAATGGAAATAATCAATGTACAGAATATATAGCTAATACTGTTGCTATGGGAAACATAATCGACGAAACATAAACAAATACTGTACATAAAATTTTTAGAATACTTTATAGTACAGGGGGTTCCTGACTTACAAACGCCTGCCCATACATACAAGGATAAACTTTAAATTTACAGCATTTTATATCCGTGACTTATCTTTTACTGTATTTGTCATTCTATCTCTTCTTTTCTCTTAAATTAATTGATTTTAGATGTACATATATAAGGGCTTAGGCTATGATATAGTGGGATTTTAAACATTGTTCTGTAAGTACGGTATGCACGTATTCAGACTTACGTATATTTCCGACTCAAGAACCTCCTCAGAAACGGAACCCGTTTATAACCCTGGGGCCCCCTGTACAGTATTTTCTAGAAGAAAATCCTGGGGTGTGAAATATCACAAGTCTATCCTCAACAAACATAGTATGTTTAACACCATTCAAATATTTTGGGTTGCTGGAATAACAACTATCTTGCAATCCTACCCCAGTGGTCACCAAGAAACTTCTCAGAAACCTAAAACTGGCCTTTGGTGCACCAAGAAACACTCATTGAAAAGAGGAGAAAAGACTATATAGCAAGGATGCAAATTCCCATGTGCCAACTTACCCGAGGTGACCAAAGTAACACGACGAGAAAATCTGACTACATTACTTACCGTAGCTGTTTAGCTGTCACCCAATTGGCAAGTTGGCCAGCAGTAAATGATTAATATTCATTAAGTTTTGTAAAGCTGGATTTAATAATGTTAGATTAGTTTGGTTAGGTAAGGTTAGGATTAGTTAGACTAGATTTATAATTCAATTTTATTAATGTGACGAGTGGCCAAGTGTCTGGAGTGGTGAAATGTCCAAAAACCAGTTGGTCAAAAAATTTCATTGGCAAATAGAATTTCAGAGTTTTTAGTTATTGTCTGTCACTTAGCATCTGTTAATATTACACATGGACAATGACATGTATTGCACATATAGCCTTTATCAAATTGTTACTGTAACTAGTTGGCAAATATAAGACAAGCATACAGATGACTGCAGTCAGAGCTGGCTCTAGGTGAAAGTGGATGCTTAGGGCCCCAATCCCTAGGGCACCCCACTTGCTACTGTATCTCTAGAGGACAGATTCACAACACTGGTTCAAGTGAAGGAGGAGTTTGGACTAATGTTAATCTTCAACAAAATATTGTATGGGAATGTAAACTGAGCTCTAACGGCGAGTCAGGTACAGGTATTGATGAAGAGCAACTAGCAAAAAAATTCAAATTTGTCTGATTTGCCTCACAAAACATGCCAGCAATGGAAGTAGCTACTGTACTGTACTCTCTTTAATGAAATAAAGTGAAAATAACTCGAAAACTCAATTTCCAGCAGAAACACTATATTTTTTCTGCTCAAACACCCTATATATGAATCGCTATAAAGTTCCGTGCATGTTCAATACAAAATATTAACTCTTTTTCTTTGTTCTTCGGTTAAATAAGGAAGGTTGTTATATTATTAAGACCTTCCAAAGAGGTTAGGTAAGGTTTTTTAATTTTTGGGGTGTTTTAACCCACATTTTCCCTCATCGTCAAAGCCCTACCCACTTTGGAAGAAATCACTGTTGTTCCTAGTGTTATAAGGTTTACATTTCCATGACCGGCTAAGTTCCTACTAATGCTATTACCTTGAGTGCACTCATGACTGGCTACTCGTCCATTACTGGCGAACAATGCGAGAACTATATTAGACAGTGACTGGCGGCATTTGGCATTTATTTCACCGTGAGTCAATCATTGTGTAGCTATAAACATATCTAACCATATTTCTGTTATGCACGAAAACTTATCCTGACAAAATAGGGGACATTTACTAGAACCTAATAGAACCTGACCTAACCAACCAAAGAAACCTACCTAACCTTACTTAATTTCCTAACCAGGGGGCAGACCCCCATCATATTAAACAGAAAGTACATAGCCAATCAGAGTGCACTCACGGTGAAATTGCGTTAGTTGGAACTTAGCCGGTCACGGCAAAATATCCACTACGTTATTAATTTCCCATTACGGCCATTAACAAATCTTTACCTTTTCCTACCCTGACAAATAACGCAGCTCTAGCCCAATAAGGTGATACTATCCTTACTAATAAGGTGGTACTATGCTAACTAATAAGGTGACAATCCTGACTAATGGGGTATCACAATGCCAATTAACAAGGTGGCACTGCTCACAAATATCGTATCACTATCCTAATAAGATGGAAAAATCCTGATATATTAGGTACCAGAGCTTTTTTACACTTTCACCTGGCAGTAATTCATCAGATAAAACTTTACTCAATCTACAAGTTATCATATAAACCAAAGTTTACCTGTAAATCCTCTTGTGTGTGTATATCAGAGTTATCTCCGGGGTTAGCAACACCTTCTCCTCCCCCTTATTCTTATTTTATTAACAGTTCTTGGTGAACATATCAATATACTGTAAGTTCACATTCAAACTACACAAGATTTGAAGACAAGTTGGGTTTAGTGAACACAATGAGGAATGGCCATGTTTACAACTTGTTCGTGTCTTCAACTGTTGCACAATTGGTAAAGGGATGTTGATATTACGCAAATGATCATAAAATTACATGTATTGCGCAATAAAATTATTAAAAATATATTTTAGGTCATTTTTATTTACATAGCTTTAACAGTTTTTTGTTGAGTGGTCATATGATATTACAAAAAAGTTTCAGGAATCGGACAAGTGCCGAGTATATGCATACGTTCTGGGAAAATATTTTCCCTTTATTTATGAAATTTGGAAGTATCCTGGACAAAGTTGTTCTCTTGTTTTTTTTTAAATTTATATCCATTTGTATAACACCAATGAATAATACATCCAGTGGACCAATGGCAATAGTATGCGGTGGCTCGTATACTGTACAGTCTCCAGGGTGCTCGGAGCTTGTAGTACAGTTTGCGAGGCAAACTGTACTACAAGCTCTGCCAATAAATTTGTTAAACTTAAAAATGTATCGGTGATTATCGGTCAAGTTGGTTCCCTCCGTGAGACAACTAGACACAGGGGTGACAGGTCTCCCAGCACCCTGGAGCCTGTACAGTACACGAGCCACCGATACAGTTTCAGAGGTTTTAAATGTAGTATAAAGCATTATATGAATGAAAATCTTGCATATTCGTTTTGACTGGAGACTTGCAACTCAATACAGTACTTGATTTGAGATTCAGCAGTAAATACATGAAATTTGAATGGAGACTAGACAAACATAAATGTAGACATGTGTCTGAAAAACGCACTTAACCCCCCCCCCCTACACTAACGCTATTTAAAGAGAAATGGTACCAGAGCAGTGGAAATAGTCTAATTGAAATTCGCTAATTAATTAATTTTGGAAAATTGAGCTGCATTTTAAAAAATTGCGTTTTTATCAAGGATATATATATTAAAAGTGGTCCAAAACAAACTAGTTTTCCCTGTAAGGCAGTGACTTATTATCATCTGAAAATTCATGTCACGGGGAGCAAAATTGACGTTGGCTAACACAAGTCACTAAGAGAATACTAATAATGAAAGTGAATGATTGCGAGTAATTATCTGTTGTGAGGCAACTTTAGTAGGTACTAAGGGATCCATATTCTCTCATATCCTCTTAAAGTTATCCAATAATAGCTCAGTAGGTCAATATATTGATAAATTTAGATATTTCAACCAGAAAGAACACCAGATAAGATATGCTTAAAGGGCTGCTGTAAAATATTAAAATAAGCTATTCATATCAGCTGATGGAGTGAAATGAGAATCTAAAGTTATTTGAAAGTCTTTAATTAATAATATCATGTATCAACACACACAATATGTTGCTAATTGTAATTATATTTTTATGATGTACTGGACGTATATCAGATTTTCTATATTTTAGGTGGTAAATAAGTAGTGAAGTACTACTGTAAGTCACCGAGTGTTGTGGGTAGTGGTGGTGTGTTAGTGACGGACAGATTTATTATAATAATGGGAAGACTACTGGGATTTCGTATCTAAGATAAGTTGTGAAGTCACCGACATCTTATTGATATGGTAATTGTACAGAGGAGTTGTTAGTATAATTAGATATAAGGACTGTCAGTCGCTGTAATAAAAGTGTTGCTTCATTCCGAGAAAACTGAAAGTCTATTTTACTTACACACTGTAGTGACTGTGCTCATGGACATGTGTGTACGATGTAACTTTTCCAGGGGGATGGAAAAAATCACCTAAAGCACAAAATCTCCGTATTTTTTTATATGTAGTGGATATATTGCCGTGACCTACTAAGTTCCAACTAACGCTATTTTACCGTGATTGTACTCTGATTGGCTAAGTACTTTCTGCTTAATATGAGGGGGGGGTGGTTAGGTAAGGTAGGTTTTTTTTTTTGGTTGGTTAGGTCAGGTTCTATTAGGTTTTAGTAATGTCACCTCTTTTATGATGATAAATTTCCATGCACAGCAGAAATCTGGTTAGGTATGTGTACAGCTACACATCGATCGACTCACGGTGAAATATATGCCAAATGCCGCCAGAGTCACGGTCAAATAAAGGAATAAAGTTCTCGCGTTGTTCACTGGTAATGGATGGTTAACTATTCAGAGTGCACTTAAAGTAAAATAGCATTAGTAGGAGCTTGGCCAGTCATGGCAAAATATCCACAGCCTTTTTTTATGTCTCTCAGGGTTAGGTTATGTTTGGTTATAAGGAATGGTAATGTCTGAGAACAGCACTACCACCAGAAGGAATTGTTCGAATTCATTCATTTTTTTCCACATGTTCTTATCATTATAGTATTTTAAAAGAGGCTACATTTACTAGAACCTAATAGAACCTGACCTAACCTACCAAAGAAACCTACCTAACCTTATATAACTTCCTAGCCATATTAAACAGAAAGTAATTACTGTATCTTGATATCTGGTACCAATGAAAGCAACTATGTTGAAGTGTCATAGTGTAATTTTATGTTTTTAGTGGACGTGAGATTACACTGGACTGAGTGGGTTGGTTGTATACAAGCAGACTATGTGTGGTGACGGCAGATTGTTCAGGTTATTTACGGTAAATAATTTCTTCACGTACAAAGCATGTAGAGACATCATTTCAGTGTCATATGATCAATATTTCATTGTGGTTTACCCCACAATTTCCCTCATCCTTCTTACCATGCCCAATACAAGTGATTTATGATTGTAGATAGAGAAAAACTAAACTAAAAAATACTCTCATGTCCACAAAAAAACGTAAAATTACACCAGGCCACTTAAAGACAATTGCTTTCGTTGGTACCACATATCAAAGTACAGTACTGTAAGTTTTTTCTGTTTAATATGTGGGGGGGGGGGGAATCCACCCTCAGCTAGGAAGTTAGGTAGGTTTCTTTGGTTGGTTAGGTCAGGTTCTATTAGGTTCTGTGCATTGCTGTACTATCACCCAAAGAACATCTGTGGATAAAATGAACTAAATCGAACAACCCGTTCTGGTGTTAGCCATCTGTTCCAAGATTACCATAAAACTTATCCCTGGTGTACATGGACTGCATCACAAATATAATAGCTCTAAATAAACATATAAGCTGTGTTTGTCAATATTTACACAACTTGGTTCGAACTTAGAGTTTTAGAATTTCTACATATAAAATTATAGGGCAAATTGCAATAGAAAAATAGGAGTGAAGAGGAAAAATGACATATTCTTTGGATCTTGTAAGAATTTATCAATTATGTAATTTCTGTAGGAGTTTTTGCTTATTGTCACAAATCTTCTTTCAATGAACATTCATTATGCGGTATTATTATCGTTTTGGTCATCCAGCGAATTTTAGGATTATAAGTTAGGTTAGGTTGAAATTATAGTTTTCCGATGGTTTTTTATGACAATTCTGACCTTCATAATTTTAATTTCCCAAATGGTGGATGGCCAAAACGATAATTACCCATTATGCACAGTCCAGATAAACAATCTTCTGCCATCATTGATCTCAACCAGGTTTTTACCCTTTTCATTGTGCTGAGTGATCTCTTTAGTGTGCATGTTGTCACGGGTCATGTCAGAGAAATAATAATTGCTTATGTAATAGAAGGAAATAGATCAGTGTGTCCAAGCAAATCCTGGAGTCCATTATCTTGGTTCTTCTTTTCAGAGGGGTCCTGGGGGTCTGAACCACCCCCCTCTTCATCAGAAAATTCCAATACTTTTTTCTTTAATGCAGTATTGTACTCAAGTATTTTTGTATAGTAAAAGGTAATTACTATTAACCTCAGAATATCTCCTAATATCAAGTGCACATGGCCTCAAAATGCCCATGATACTGGTCAGATTTAAAAAAATTTCTGGGGGGGGGGGGGTTACAGCTACCCCCCAAATCCCCCAGCTGGGTGGATTCTCTATGCTCACCATGTTTCCCCCACCTGCAACTTCTTGGACCCCCCCCCGGATATTCCTTTATCCGCCCCAGCTTTTGAGACAAAATTTCAAATGTGGGAAAAAAGTCACAGGAAATATAGTTGCAGATTAGTTAGATTTTAATTTTTCAACCAAACCCAACCCAACCTAATCTAACCATTCCAACCTAACATAACTATCATTACCTAACCCAACCATCATTAACCTAACCTAACCAACCTAACCAACCCAACCCAACCCAACCCAACCCAACCCAACCCAACCCAACCCACCTTAGCCTTTTAGAGGACAGGGGAGCTCTCTCAGTTGAATAAAATCATCTGGCATTAGCTACAATACAGTAGTTGTATACTGTACAGTATATGATCCATGCATGTGTGTTGGCCCCTTGTTTTGCTTCTTCTGTGAATTTCTGTGGTTTTTACTCTGTTGTCTGGTTTATATAAAGGTTAAAGTTAGGTAAAATTGATAAAAAACAAAGGTATAAAGAAAAGTGAAGATGGGTTAAGGCCTTTCCCCTTCTCGTGTCAGAATTTAAAGATACCGGTACCCCACAGAATTCCCTTCTTTGTTAAGGGAGACATATAAACCTACATGAATTTCACTGAATTTTCCATTTCACAGGACGATGATGACAGTAATGTTACAACACATGGACGCTCCAGAAAAATTCCACCCCCTGTACCGAAAAAGAAGCTCAAGAAAGCCCATGTTACTTCAGAAGTTAAATATGACAGTAGTTCTCAGGAATCTTTACTGTCAGACTCCTTTCTTAGTGTGCCAAGAGAGGAATTGGTCGCTTGTGATGACTTAACAAGACTTCCAATTTTATATGATGATATAGGTTTGTAAATAGTTTCATGTCTCTTTTCAAGTGAGCAAGACAAACTGATATGGTAGTAGCTTCCTTACATATGTATTTTCAAATTAATAGCCTAACCAGTACAGTTCATAATTTCTTGTTAAACAAATGCAATAACTTTCTAATTCTCAGAACATGCACAGTACATTATTGTACTCACACACCCACAGACTCACACAATGTGATACAGTGTACTATAGTTCAGGGGTATTTCCACACTAACCTGGTCTGTAAGCCACACCCCTCGTCTATAGCTACAAATAGCTGATTGGTTCGTAGAAGTTGTTTTGTGTAGCTGTCCATTTATTCATACTAAATATGTTCACAATTGGTAAGCAGACCTGTTATTCTCTAAAATAATGTTAAATAATTGGACTATCAAAATGCAAGTGATCTTGAGGCATTAGCACAGAGACGATTTTTGGAAATTTTAAATATTTACCATAGAAGGTCGAAGTTAAAGATGAAAATCACTTTCGAGTGCAGTCTTTTCATATTTCTTTGTTTTGTACCAAACATAAACAAACAAAAACAAATGATCCCAAAAATATAGCACAATAGGTAATGAACTACAATTTGTTTGGCTGTATATATCCCAAATTATTTATATAACTGATAAAACTCGATATAAATACGTACTTATATACGTGCAGTCCGTGAGGAGGTAAAACGCTCAGGGGAAGAGCCACTGGACTTCATGGCCAGATGGACGGGTGATCAGTTGGACACCTGATTCATACTGCCAGTACGGTAGAGCTCGCATTAGAATACTATAACACACAAATTAACTATACCTGGAGAAACCTTTCCACCTGAACATACACTGATTCTCTTTGGAATTTTCGATACAATACAAAGAATACTAACTGATTGGTAATTACTACATTAGACCTGTCGCCTTTCTTGTAGAAAGGTGTTACTCTGGCAAACTTATACTCATCTGGTACAGAATTGGTGCTGAAGGAGAGGTTAATTAGATGTGTTATTGGTGTCTTTAATATAGTGGTACCACACCTCAAAAACTTGGCTGGAATGCTACCAATACCTGTGCTCTTGTAGGGGTCTAACTACTTTAGAACAAAGTCCTCTGTCACTGTGTGGATTTCAATATTGTACTATCTTGAGTGTTTCCTTTCTCTCTGAAGTGGGATTTAAAAGCATCTGATCCCGCACTAATTGTTTGAGGCTATCAGTAGTTGTTCAAGTAAAGATTAGGCAACTGATGTATTGAAGGAATTAAAGTGGTTTGCAACTTCAGATGCATTGTGACAGAGCTCATCATTGATGTTTAACACTACGTCGGAACGTTCTTTTGGTTTGTTGCAGTCCCAGCATTTTCTAAGAACACAACCATCAATAAAAATGGGGGCAACTTATATTCTTTTTTTAGCTATAGTGACAGCAATTGTCAGATGCCTTACAGTTATATCTGAGCCAAAATTAAAATTAATATTTTTACCTTGTTAGGGGTACCGGGTATACTTTAAATTCAGGCATTAGTGTACATAATATTGGTGAAGGAAAGGATTTTATTTGATGTGTACAGTATATGATTTTATAGTTATTAATATACAGTATTCTACTTCTTGTTTTCAGTTTTAGAGTGCATAATCTTGCGTTATAATGAGAATGCATTCTACACATGGGCTGGTCCAACCCTGGTGGCAGCTAACCCGTGCCGTTCTTTGGACCATCTGTATACTTTGTCTCAGATAGAGCATCACCATGACCAGGTTAAGGTAAGCTCATGGGTATTTTTTTAAGATATGACCTATTATGAGTTTTCCACCTCATAAGATATCTAAGAAATGAATTTTGTCACAAATTGATGATTGTCTAACTTCACCCACAGTCTTTTCCTCCTCTTCTTGACCTACAGTCTTCCTTTTCTTCCTAATTCTTTTTTAATAACTCTGTATTGTACTTCTGTATCACTTATTTTCCTTCTCTGGCTTTTCACTTAAAAGAAATCCTTTTCCCCCCAAACAAGTCTACAGTACAGAACTTCCTTTTCTTGCTTTTTCTACATATACAGGTTGACAATCCCTTATCCGAAATCCTTGGGGCCAGAGGCATTTCGGATTTCGGAATTTTTCGGTTTTCAGAATGGTTAGGGTTTTTTTTTTTCTTTTTTTTTTTAATGTGTATTAGCCCACCCGGATATAGATCACTGACCCACATTAGGGCCTGGGGGGGGGGCGAAAATATAATAAAAAAGTATAATACATGTAATAATAAATAATAATTCATTGGTCTAGGTCGTGTTTCTCACTTTTGATCTTTTTTCATTCTTGTATTTCTTTATTATTATTATTATTATTATTTTATTATTACAGTATTATTGTTATTATTATTAAATCTATTATTATTATTTTATTTTGGTATATTTTTATTAAAATTTTTATTTACTATGAATAATTATTATAATTATTATTACTATTACATTTTTGCCCCCCATGCCCTGATGTGGGTCAGTGATCTATGCCCGGGTGGGCTAATCCCTGTTATAAAAAAAAAAAAAAATTGCCCCCCCCAAAAAACTTTCGGTTTTCAGAGCTTTTCGGTTTTCGGAATTTCGGATAAAGGGTTGTCAACCTGTAGTACAAGGAAACATATAGGAATATCCTGCCAGGTAATGGTAAGTATCCAGTAACTCGCCAGATTCTTCTCTTATCTGGCCAATATCAACCATTTTGTTGCCCAAGTGTTATAAAGTATTGAACACTTGCAAATGAAACTATCCTTTAGGCCCTAATATCTTGCAACCTTTCCAGAGTGGACTGGACAGACGTGATGCACATGTGTACAGTATTGCCGGTGTAGCTCATCATCGACTCACTCATGACCTTGGTTGTATAAATCAAGCTGTTTTGGTATCAGGGGAAAGTGGTGCTGGAAAGGTAGTGTTATATTCTGTTTATAATTGTCATATTTAACATCTCTTAATTTGCTCCAATATTTCGTGTATTTCATTATATTGTATTTTAGCTTCTAAGGTCTGTGATTACACCATACAGTATTATTAAAGTTATTTTAATGGTCGCTCAAAATTGCATGGAGAAAGTCACGGATTGAATGGTTGGAGCAAGATCTTAAATTTAAATTTCTATGATTATTTCCTTCAAGAGGACTTACTAGAATGATATATCAGAGAATTTGGTAGATAGATAGATAACTTAATAATTCCTTTAATTGCCAGACTATATCTGCACGCTACATGTTGGGATACTTGACGCATGTTGAGACAAAGTTTCCTCAAGTTCCTCGATCACCACTGAAAGGTGTGTGGGAGGACAAGGAACCTGAGGACATCCTGAATAGGATTTTAGCCTCTGACCCTATCCTTGAAGCCTTTGGTAACTCTGCAACACTTCGCAATGAGAATTCCAGCAGGTATGATTGGAATTTGTTAGTGCTAGGGAGATGGTTTATTGTGATGTTCAGGTAAAGATATTATCTAGGGAAAGTACAGTACTTACAGTGTTTCCAGGAAATATTTCTTGTATTTTGCCTTGCAATGATGTAGAATATTGTTTGCATGTTATACAGCATGCCCTTCAAATTTAATTTGCGAACCTCGATTATTCGCGGATGACACCCTGGATGTACCCAAGAACACCTAGCAGTACTGTACAGCAGGAATAGGCTTGCAAGATTGAAAAATTGTGTACTAGGGTACTGTATACATGGTACCGTATATCCATGATCAGTGTTTATCTTTGTTTCATTTCAGATTTGGTAAACTTATTCGTCTACAATATGGGGGCAGGCAGTTGCGAGGGGCAGAGATTGACACTTACCTCTTGGAGAAAACCCGAGTCACTCACCAGTCAGAAGAAGAATGCAACTTCCACATATTTGACCAGGTTGTTTGAATTTTTTTTTTAATGGTTGCTAGACATATTGACCAATTGAATTAATATATGTCTGAGTTGATTCAGATTTTTTCTGGGACAAAGTGTTTATTTGATATTCATCTTTATCTATATCTCTTTTATTCAAATCAATTGTTTAATGAAACGGTATACATATTTAAGCCACATTCCTTTGCATTCTTTCTAATCTACTTTAATCTGATATGAAACTTCTACCTCAACATTTTGTGAAAATTCTGAGTTATTAAGAACTTTTCTTCTTAATGAGGGGAATTTTGGTAAAGATTTTAGGAGATGCATGTTGACACATGGCCTCTGAATGAAGTAGTGAATCTGGAATATGTTCAAAACTTATAAAATCCAGATCGTGCTCAGACTCCAGATATAAATTCTAAAACTAATGTGTCTGTTTATATCAACAGGTTGTAGCTGGCATCAGGTCAGGGATAATAAAAGATCTGATGCCCAATATTGATGAGAAGGTCATCACACTATCAATAGAAACAATTGATTCTGATCTCTCAAATCTTCAAGAGACTCTGCAGGCTTTCAATCAGCTAAATTTCTCACAAAGCCACCAGATCCACATATTCCAGGTGAATGACATGGAAAGTTAATAGACAAAGGTTGAATGGTTATAGAGGATTTATTGGACCTGACATGCTGGTAATGGGGATTGTGAGGCTTGGGTTTGGAAAGGAAACAATACTGCAGCAGAGTGGTAAAAACATAGAGGGAAATACTTGAAAGTTAGAGAATAAGGTAAATGAGATATATTGGTCTCGTAGTTAGGGATGAGGGATGGTAGAAAATTTAATGGGTAAAATTAAGGGTAGGAAGGCCAGGGGAAGGTAGAGACTGGGGTGAGTTCATGAAATTAGAAGTTATGGTCCCCAGAGGTGCAAAATCTGAGAGAACTGGTAAAGACAGCCTGCAGACATTTTGAGTGGAGGACCGTGGTTGATAACTCTGATACACAAGGGTGCCATTGTGAGAGATTAAGTTATAGAGATAGCTTATGTATAATGGTTTATTGTGTTAACTGTTTATATTACAGATTACAGGTACTCCTCGACTTACGACCTACTCGACTTACGACCACCTGTCCATACGACTGCCGCAGTCGTATAAAATATTTTTCAAGTTATGTATTTTCGAGTCTCGGCGTTAGTGATCGCGCTGTGTACTGACAAAATTTTCGTTTGTAATTCCCTTTAAAATGGCTGGTAAGCGTAAAAGTGAGAGTTCTCGTGGTGCTGAGAAGAAAAAGAGACTCCCAGTTTAGATTTTCTATGTATTATTTTTGCATTTTCAACTTACGACCAATTCGACTTGCGACCAATTCGACTTACGACCTGGTCGTCGGTCCCTAACCCCGTTGTAAGTCTAGGACTGACTGTACTGTATTTGATATTAATTGTCCCTGCAGCCCCCAAAGCTTGACCTCGACTTAACGGAATCCCCCCCATTACTGACACGTTGCTGCACCAACGTGTTCACTATAAAGATGTCTCACTGTAGCCTTCTCTTTTTCCCACAGGTTATTGTAGCCTTGCTTCACTTGAGGAACATTACCTTCGCTCAAGATGATGGAGGACAAAATAAGTGGACTGTCAATAAACAAAGTAAAGGTATCACATTTCTAGGCCAATATATCTAAGATGTTATGTATCAGTACAGTACTATTTTTACAATTTTATTTTATTTTACATTTTAGTCTGAGGTCAAGTGGTATATCCCTGAAGACACTCAGTTCTAGGATATAAACAACCACATTACTATTTGCCTGACTATTCTCATTTTCTCCCCTCTTATGCCTTCACTATTCAGCATTTACACGAGTGCATCCTGTTAATGTTCATACCAGTAACCTTGTAAACCTCTCCTCTGGCCCTGTGATTGGCCTTCAGGTGCTCTTCCTTATCACTATCCATCTTTTAGGCCTTATATAAATGGCTCTATACAAATGGATTTAAAGGCATTATAAACATCTTTCAAAAAGAAAAAGATGTATTAGATAAAAACAGAACTTTATTTAAATGCGTGATGTGTTGTTTTATTTTTATTTTTTTAAATTAGTTACTATGATTACTTTGGTGAATTGGAAAAAATATTGTGATTTTTTATTTGTAATTTACAGAATGTATGGAGAGCTTAAGAGTAGCTGCATTCTTATTGGGGTTGAATGAAGACAAGCTGGTTGATACTCTCACCATCCATACCTTCAGTGTCAGTAGTGCTCGCAAGGTTAGTGTCAGTTTTTACAGTTTCATGGGTAATATTTTAATTATCCTTTATATTACAGGTTATCATATTGATTGTTGGTTATGTTACAGGTTAGTACAGCACAGTTTATCAATTATTGTATTAAAAATTATTAGTTATTGTTTGTGTTATAGTTTATTTTTGCATTACATGTTATTGTATCTTGTACAGAGGCTCCATGCTACATTTAACCTGTTATAAAGAAATATTAGCTACTGATAGAACACTCTGGGTTTTGTTTAACACTTTGCATAATAGTGGTATAGTATGTCAATTTTACACCTTGCTAACTGCTTGGGTGACTCATGCTGGTTGACTTTGCATACTTGAGTCTTGTTCTCACAACTTCAATATTCCCCTCACATTTCTTCCATCATTTAATTTAATTGGTAGTTGTAGTTTGTATTGCAAGTTACATTACTTTATAGGTTATTGTGTGTTACAGGTTAATGTGTTTCACAAGCCTTGTGAGCGTTTGAGTCAGTGTGTTGAGCGACGTGATGCTCTCATGCAGCTTATTTATCAATCTCTCTTCCTGCACATTGTCAAGTTCATCAATGGCAAAATCAGTGCACCCAGGAATATTTGGTCAAACTTTTTGGGTAAGGGTTCATTTAAACATTTTGTTGCCATTTCATTATTCCTCTTTTTTTTTAATTAGATTATGAAAGAGTATTTATTTCTTGAAATTTACTGTACAGATAATAGAGTACTGTAAATTGGTTGACCTCTTCTACTGTAGAAGCATTACTGGAGGAGTAATTTAATCTCATCTATATTTCTTTCCCACTATGCAATACTGTACTGTATTGGCTTTGCTGTGATTTATCATCTGATCATCTGCAGTGATTCTTTCATTATGAATTGAAAATTTAAACATTATTAGTGTAGATCCATTTGAAAATTAGTGAAGTTAGAGTTTGGTTGAAATTTTACAACATATTTGCCTATAGGTATAACAAGTGTAGATAAAAATATTTTTGTTTTTGTTCGGTTTATGTCATTTATTTTGGGTGTACGGTACGGTATGTTGCTTAGGCTGGTAACTGTCTTAGATGTGAGGTAATGTTTAGGCTGGTAACTGTCTGAGATGTGAGGTACTATCAGCTAGTGTTAGAGCCAGAGTATATCATAACCAAAAACTTTCTGTATTTAATTTGCTACAAGAGCTGATCTGACTTCTCTGCACTTTCAGGGATATTGGATGTTTATGGATTTGAAACTTTCGAGCAGAACAGCCTAGAACAATTGTGTATAAATTATACCAATGAAAGATTACAGCAAGCATTTATGTTAAGGTACCTGGCCACTGAACATCAGGTAATGGTTTAATGTTTCAGTTTTGGATGTTACATTGACATTTTCTTGTGTGAGAGTAAACAAAGCAGTGGGTTATAGTAACAATGGAAAATGAAGAAATGTGGATAAGATTTACACAGTTAATACAATTAATTATTAAAATTTCAACATCTTGACCACACATCCTGGATAGGTATTCCTTGACATGTTGATTAAGGATCTGTGGTCAAAAAGTTTAAATTTTGATAATTACCCCTGTAATTGTTCTGAAAGTCAACGGGGTTTGAAATTTGGATTCTTAATTTCCGTGATTAATTTTAGAATTTTGTTCTCAATATTTTACCTAAAATCTCAATAGTACATATATGTATTCCTTGACACACAGATTAAGGATTCGTGTAAAGTCAACTCGTACCCCCAAGCACCTTAGCATTGTTAAATAACTTTTAACATGTATTTTCTTTTCTCTTTTTAACTTGTCCATACTAACGTGTTCAGGGTAAGCGTTAACTTTACACCTTGGCTGACCACTGATTAATTGCCTGGTTTATATGTTTTGGGAAGTGGGGAAAAGATGGATTCAGTGAAGTTGCTGGTTAGGAAATTTGTGGCCGCTAGCCTGTTTGGCTTACAAATGGCGTAGACCATACATTGAATTCAGTATTTACATTTATGTAGATAGAAGATAGAGGAAAATATATTCAAAAAGAAGAAAGAGAAACAAATATTCAGTAATATCTCCATTAGCCGGAATCTCTCAAACCCGGAACTCTCTAATAGCCGGAATTGAAATTTGCTCGGTATTTTTCAGGAAAATTCTCTGAATTCCGGGTTTAGGAACAAATTATGAGGTTGAAAATCAGTTGCATTTTCTGAAAATTCTAAGAAAGAATAAATCTGGAAAATCATAATTAATTTTTATTTCTGGGTCTGGGAATAAATTTTCAGGACATTCCAAAAGATTGCATCATGCTCCAACTCATCCCCACATGCCATACGCATGGGTGGTCCGGCTGCTTGGATTGCTTAGTTCATATTCTGCTGCCAGTGTAGAAGGTTGTTCCCTCACTAGCCACCGTTTATGTGTACAATTTGTGTTGTGCAGTGCTGTACATTATTGTACCAGAACAAAATCAATCTATTTGTTAATTTTGATTAGTTCCTTGTACAGTATTTCATATATCTGTTGTTATGAAGTTTAATATGTTTGCTGTACCTAACATGGAAGGAGATTAAAAGACTAACAGATCGCTCAGTAGGATGTTTTATGTCTTCAAGAAATAATGGAAATGGTATTTAAAGTTAATCCTGTAATGTTTATATCTGAAAATAACTTGTATTATAACCTTATTGTTTACTGCATCACAGATCTTAAAAGAAGAAGGTTTCCTCGGTGTGGATGTACCTTACACTGACAACTCGCTATGTGTTATGACCCTTGATTCTCGGATTTCTGTCTTTGCCATTCTCAATGAGGTTAGTACAGAAATGTGTGTGGGTATTGTCTTGATTTAGGTAGTCCTGTATATCACAAAGATGAATTATGGGTTGTGCATATATATGTTAATATGAATTTTTATACCAAACTATACATTTTATATTTACATGCATCATGGGTCAATACTAATAATGTAAGTATAATGAAATGTGACAGTACACTGTTATGTACCATTTATATACTCTGGCAAAATCACATAATCTATATAATAAAAAAAGTTTTTAGAATGTAGCTAAGTGACTAATTGCTCGTATATGTTTTTGATACGTTAAATTTCCCAGTAGAGATGCACGGTGCAAAGTTTTGTTACAAGATTAGTTTTAATTTCATGTGTTATGGTTTCTGGTGAGAATGAATGTTTTACCACTGTCATTAGTAACTGTTCTGAATATTATGTGGTAATTTTATCATACATTAAGCAATATAAAGAAGGCTCTTATGCCTGTAATGCAGGAGTGTCAGTTAAAGCGGGATGTGAAGGAAGATGAGGCTTGTGACCGTGTCTGCAAGGCCCTAGCGGACACAGGTGTGGTATATGCACCATTCTCTCCCCGCGACACACCTGGCTTTGTCATCAATCACTATGCTGGCCCAGTTAAGTATGATGCACAAGGCCTACTACACAAGAATAAAGATGAGGTGAGTCACAATAACACATAGTGTGTGTGTCATTCCTTCATCATCATCCTCCTCGTTTTATGGCCATTTTCCACACTTGTGTAGTTTACCTGCAGTTACCTGATGGCAGGTGTCCATGCTGCATGGTCTCTTGTCAGGATTCTAACTCTAATATAATTTTTTTAAATTTTCCCTGCGTCATTCTTGGTCTACCCCTGGCTCTTCTCACCTCCACATTTAGGCTCTTGCACCTCTTGACCCAGTTGGTCTCATCCATTCTCTCCACATGCCCAAACCATTCCAACCTGCCTCTGCACAGAATTTCACCAATACTGTACAGTACTCTTAATATCCAGTTGCCCTCTTAGTTCCTGTCTTTCAGTGCTTAGAAACAACAAATACATTACCATAGTAGTTTTCTCATGAAGTGCCTGTTTATTTATGGTACTCTAAGAGAGTACAGCGGGCTCGTAACACTCGTCTTGCCCGTGGTGTCCAACTTTTCTGTGTCAAAGTCGGTCACACTGGAATAACTTGTTATAGTACATCCTTCTTTCCTCACACAGCCAAATTGTGGAATGCTTTGCCTTCTGTATTTCCATCTTCTTACAATGTCTCACTTCAAAAATCTGGTTTTCCGGAATCTTCGTGGTGTACATTAACATACAGTACTCTTTTTCTCTTCTAATTTATATTTTTTACTTCTATTTATTAACCCCCAGGCCCCGTTGTGGGTTGATGACCTGTGCCCGGGTGGGCTATTACCTGTAAAAAAAAGGTTAAACACAAAAGTCAATGACACTACAGTAGTTATTTCAAATTAGTTTTGTCCTGCTTCCATTTGTTTGCTAAATATTTTTTATGAATACAGGTGCTCCTCAACTTACAAACTTTCAGAGATACAAACATCATCACTGAGGGGGGGTTACCTGCCAGGACAGGTGTTTAATGTGGATGAGGCTGGATTATTTTGAAGAAAATTACAGATAGAACAAACATTACCTAAGAGGAGAAGAGTGAGCCAGGTTTTAAGGCTGTATTAAAGGGTATAGCTGTACTAAATATCCATAAGAGTAAAGTTGGACTTACAAACAAGCCTCAGGAACGTAACTTGTTCGTAAGTAGAGGAGCACCTGTATACAGTATGCTAAACTTTAATGTAAGTTGTCTAATTACTGTATTGGAAATATATTATGCTGTAAGATTTGCTATAAGGTTATATGCTTCTGGAATTAATCACTAGAATAATATTGCCAGCCAGATGCTGTGAGTGTGAGTGAACTGTATACATCTGTTCTTTGGGCAGTAAACTGGTCTTAAATAAAAAATTCTTTTTTATCTAAATGTTAGGAATCTTTTATACAAATAAGTCAATCATGTGGGGTTTAGGGACCTAACCTAACCCATTGTATACTGTACAGTACATGTTAATATCCACCCATGTTCAATTAATATATAATAGGGTAGTCTTTTAAATGTAATTTGAATATATTATTTTTAGCATTTATTATTTTTCAGGTTCCATATGAAGTCTGGGGATTGTTAGCAAGTAGCAGTCAAGATTTCATTCGTAATTTAACTGTGGGTACCGACAGTACAGACCTTGAGAATGGAAGACGGACAACTCGCAAGATTACTACCCTTTCCAAGTTTAAATCATCTTTAGATAATTTAATGAAAACCTTGTCTGAGTGTGACTTGCACTATGTACGATGCATAAAGCCGAGTATGGGAGCCCATCCAGGTGAGATCCTTTACAAAAGGAATAATGTGAGGGATTAGGTTTTTTGTGTCTCTGCATTTAAGTGTCAAACTTTGCAGTAAAAATGCCATTACAATTTTACAGTGTTGACAGCATACTGTATTATCGTAATTCTCCTGTTTGCTTGTATTTTTCTTTAATTCCTTCATAAATATAGCAGTAAGTCCCCACTGAACAAAAGGGTTAGGTTCCTCTAAAATGCTTTTGTTAGGTGGATTATGTTCATCGAAACCATTTTCCCATATAAATTAATGTAATAAGGGGGATGTGTTGATGTACTAAGTTTTGTGATAGAATAATATACTGTACTAAGCTCTGTGACAAAATAATTGCAACACATCAAAGGACTGTAGATAAAAAACATGTAAAACATAAAGTTACAAATAGTGTTACTGTAATTACCAAATCCATGTCGAAAGTGACAGGTGCAGTGGTTGTTCCTCTCCAAGGCCAGAGGAACACAGTTATTTAATCTTATTTAGTTATTGCTAGGGGCAGGATCATCTGCCTCTTCACTTGAGGCACTGTGATCACTGCCATAGTCCTCGGGTGACAGGACTGGTGGTGGTGGCGGTGCGGGTGGTGGTGGAGGAAAAGTGGCTGACAATGTAGTGGTGGTGGTGGAGGCAGTGGTGTCAGCTGACTGAGCGATGACAGGTGGAGGAACTGAGGTTGTCGTTTTCTTTTTAAAGAAAGCATGGAGTGTTGGCTCCAGTTGCAGCAATTCTTCATTTGTTAGGGATTCACCATATCCCTCAAGCAGATCCTCTATGTTTTCCTCATGTACCTCATTAAATCCTGCTTGCTGAACCAGCTGCACGATCTGCTGGTTTGTAGCAGCTGGCGATTGTGGGAATCCAGGGTATTCATAAACACACATTGGCCAATTTTTTTTCCACACACCATTCATTGTAGAGTCGGAAACTTTATCCCAGGCCTCTTTAATATTTTCCAGAGCTTTCTTTATATTAAAATCTTTCCAAAACTGTCTTAATGTTGGGGGTTCTGGGCTAAGAAGCCTTCCTAAGAATCATTCCCAAAACAGAGCAAAGAACATGTTAGGCTTGTGGGCACTGGTTGACCGGGAGGTGGGAAACATAAACAGTTGTCAATTGTTGTTTGTGGGAATATTTCATTCACTCTAGTAATGATACAATGTTTCTTATTATGTTATCGTAGGTAAATGTATGCTTATATACTTTGTTTGTCAGTGGGCCTGTCACCATTTTCAAATTAGACTACAAGATACGTATTTCAATCATACGCCTGACAATGGGTGCTGGTAAGGGGAGTAAGTCGAGTGTCTGCTGCTAGTTGAGCATTGTCTGCGCTTAACTCTTCTCCCTCTCTGCCATATTTCACTGGATTTATTGTTATGTTACATAAATTTTAAATTATGGAGTGAATATAACAAATAAACAATACAGTACTGTACAATATTGTATCATGAATGACAGTCATAGTAGAATGAGAAGGAGACAGTATCGGTGAGATGCAGTGGGTGGGAGGGAGGGAGGAACATGGGTAGTGGGTGGGAGGCAGTGGATATCGTGCTGATCTGCTCTGGCTAAAGCAAAGCCATCACTGAAATTATGATTTAGGTGGTGGTAATAGAGGTAGTGGTGGTGATCATGAAGCTGGTGGTGAGAAAGCAGAAAGGTGGGATTGACTTACTATTCGTAATAGTAGAAGATTCTTTCATTAATCGGCAAATGGTTATTAAAATCTTGCTTTCGTTATACCGTATATCACGGCCTATAAGGCGGCGGGGTGCATAAGACGCCCCCCCCAAATTTCCATTTAAAAAGTAGCTTTTGAGCTCTATTTGCTGTATAAGACCAGTACCCCAAATGTGACACTTACCCACTGACTCAGTAGTCCTTTACCAACCATCCTTGATTTTTTAAAATAAGGAATTCTTAGGGTAGTGTAAACACTAGTGACGTCACTGAAAAAAACATGTGTTCAACAGCAACCACCGTATTCTAATTGTAGTTTGATAGAGGAGGACCATTTAGATACTGTTCAACTGATTTCATAGGTACTGTTAGTTTTTTATGTGACGGCATCTGCTATGTACTGTATTTAGTTTTGTCGTTGAAATACTAAAATTTTAGATTGTTTCAAATTCTTGGGAATTTCAGGTGAGGTTGAGCGTGACTTCGTCTTAAACCAACTGAGAGCCTGTGGAGTTATTGAGACAGTCAGCATTAGCCAAGCAGGTTATCCAGTCAGGTGAGTTTAATATTACAAGTAACATGTCAAGACAATTTCTATACTGTAGTAATATTTCTGATAGCCAGAATCCCTCTTAACCGGAACTCTTTGATAGCCAGGATTTATATTTTCTAGGAAAATCGTTTCCAAAGCTGGAATTTAAAAAAAAAATTCCGGCTTTGGGAACAATTTTCCGATAAAATTTAAATTCCGGCTATTGGAGAGTTCCAGTAAAATGGGATTCCAGCTAACAGAGATATTACTAACTTATTTTTTTTTCCAATAAGTCAGATTCACCTTTATGGAAAGAATTCTGAGTTGGCAGCATAAGGTGTTAGGTGACTGGTTACATGAGGGAGAACTTTCCTAGACATTGTGATATACTGTAGGTTCTATTATGGTGATGATGATTATCTGTTATACAATTAGAAAGTATCAGAAGTTGTTGTAAGAACTCCAAAACAGGAAAGGGATGTAAATTTAATTACAGGTATGATTATTGAAAATCAGGGAACTGAATAATGTTCAGTAAGTAAAAACTAATTGTCTTGCCTTTTTTGTTTTTATTGACTGCTTATTAACAGACTTTATAGGTGATTTAGTTGATTGATATACAGTACTATATTTTAATATTACAGTATATTCTCCTGTAGTGGTTATTGTTTGGCATAATGCATTATTTTAATATATTTAGGAAATATTTCATTTGTTGAATGAATGTAAATTTGACATAAAACACAAAATAGTGAACATAATCAAGTATAAATTCCATGAACGGAACAAGGGATATAGAAGTAATATGTCTGGATGCTTTTTCTTAATGCAGCCACTATACTGTATTCGACTTCGTTGATGAATTCCATATTTGGTTAAAAAATTGAGTAAAGGTTTGTGATGGGGTGACATTGAAAATAGCATGTGTCAGATGTTTGTGAGGAAAAAAAGTTAAGAAATTAATGAATCTTGTCAGTTGTTATACATTTATTAACTGTAGACAAAATTTTAGGAAAAAAAAATCTGGAACTCTCCCATCATTGTACATCATAGTACAGGTATCAGGAAGTTTAATGTTTTTATTTTGTATTAACTTTCTTCTTGATTTTATTTTTTATTAGAATTTCTCATGAAGATTTCTACAACCGATATGGGGGATCAAGAAAAATAACAAATGTAGTTGATTCAAGCATAGCTGTTGCCAAGTCTGTCCTAGGGGTAACACCTGAACAAGAAATTGATCCAGTAAAATGCAGGTAAGCACACTCATTTGAATATGAATAATATTGTAAGTGCCCGAAACTAATTCAATAACTTTGGCATTTGGGAAATTGACCGTATACCACAAAAAACATGACATGTGTAAGTTTAAAACAATAACTATATTTTTTTAATTGAGGATATAAAATTAAGAAGCCATGCAAACCACATAAACAAATATGTACTCATTATGAGTGTTGAGTTATGAGTTTGTGAAGTGAGGCAGAGTATAACTGGCAACTGCTGAACCCTGACTGTTGTTGTGGTGGCTGTGGTGACAAATGACATGATTGTGGTGGTACAAAGTGGGTTTTTGTGGTGCAAAGTGGGTGGTAAGTCCTTGTGTAGGTGGTGAGCCAGGGTGTCATGTCATAGGTGTGGGTAAAGGGGCTATTGAGGACAATAGGAGGGTGATAAGGTGTAAATAATTTCAAATTATTCCAAGATGCTAATATCAAGTTGATATTGAGGCTCCACCAGCCTTGTGTCTCACTCTAGCATTTACCGTAAAATCGTTGACTTTCCGTTCATGGTATGATTTTTAGCACGGCTTTAAATTCATGATGCCAAATGCCAATTGTCAAGACGACAATGGTGCTTTTGCCTTAAATCATCTGAAGATGATGATAACAAATGGTAATATATTATGTTTTATTATATATTTTGCCAAAATTTTTACAATGTTTATTATGGTACAGTAAAACCTCACTTAATGAGCAGTGGGTTGTGGAAAAGTGTTTGTTAGGTGAATTCTCACTAAGTGGGATCCATCTTCCCATCGTATCCCATGTTGAAAGCTGAGAGTAGTGTAAAGTGTATGGGTTACTGGTATAAAGGATAAGGAAAATTTTGATCAGTTGTCCAGTTGCCTCGGGTTTTTGTTCCGGCGTTTTAATGCCATGGCTTCTTAAATTACTCTCATTTTCCTGTAAGTGAGCTCTTGGTCCTTCAGATGAATTGGGGGAGGAGGAAGGGTCTGGATTAGCTGACTATTGAAATTAAGTTAAAATGTACAGCATGCCTTGGCAATTCGCTGATTTTCAATTTGTGAACCCTGGATGTACCCAAGAATGTCTCAGGGTAGTTTTAAAGTTGCTGGCATATTTGTGGCCGGGACAGGGAGCCATTCATTCTAGAGACAGTAATTTCTTTTACCTGTATTGTATATATGTGTGTGTCTACACACACACACACACACACACATATACAACACAGGTAAAATCCCCGGTCAGCAAATGTTATTCGCAGATTTGGCTATTCGCGGCCATTTTGAGAACCCAACCCTGTAAATTTTAAGGTGCATGCTGTACAGAAAAAAACTCCCAGATGACCCCAGAGTAAAATACTATACAGTCAACCCTCGCTTTACGCGGTCCCACTTTACGCGTTTCCACATTTACGCAGTACCCTGCCGAACACGGAATGCTCATTTTCCGCGGTGTGTGTACCCTTTTACGCGGAGAGCGGCGCGAGCAGGGTGCGCACAAGGTCGCCCAGTCATCAAAACATTACCGAGTTCTACACCCGCCACCCACCACTGCCGGCCCAAGTCAGTGATAGTGATAATGATAGTGAGGATATGGACTTATATGGACTTTGAGGGGTTTGACATAGAGGCCCTGCAAGCCTCTGTGGTGGATAGTGATACAATTGATACAAGTGATACAGGTGAGGGCCAATAATCTGCCCTCTGCCTCGGAGCCAACCCCCCATCCCCGTGTGCCCAGCCATCTTTTCTACTAATGTAAGTGTTAAAAAGCCTAATATTATTGATATTTCTCTTAATTATTAATTGTGTGTGCATACCATCATAAGATTAAGAAGTTATTTTTACTACAACGTAGGTATTGTGTCTGAAAAAGTGGAGTTTGGGGGTCGGCCCGGTCTCTATTTCAATTAGTCCCACATGTTATGTTGTTCACTTTACGCGTTTCTCACTTTACGCGGGCCGCCGTGGGTTCAATTGACCGCGTAATGTGAGGGTTCACTGTACAGTATAGTACAAGTCCCAAATTCAGCAAATTTTGATGCTATAGAAATATTTACAATCTTCAAAACATAAGATACATTTTTAATCAAAATTTTCAAATATAATACAGTATGGGCACTCCCTGATATACGAAAGGGTTCCATTCCTGAAAAACTCTAATTAATCAATTTTTCATAATTTGAATTCCATTTTTCTATAGACTCTTTATAAAAGCTGAAATGTCAAGAGGAAATGTGGCAAGATATTGAAATTCTGTGTTGACAGTGAAACAAATAAAGGCTTGAACAAGTATAAATCACTGCCTGGAGCAGGGTCAACATAGTCTGCTGCTGCTGTCGTGTTTGAGTGATTTAAGCAATGAAGAAGTGATGGGTGGCTATTTCTGGCTTCCTTTTGCTGTGAAAATCTTGACAGTCTAACCAGAATTTGAAAAAGTCAATGATACAGTGTATGTGATGGTGATAGTGGTAACACACTCATACCTCATAATAAAACAACCAGTATAAAAAAAATTACATGTTATTTATGTATCCTTGAATGTTTTTGTATAATTTAAAAACTAATTGTTATGTAAAACTACAACTTGACTCCATAATATCAAAAAAATTAAATTTTTGGAAGTCTGCATCCTTCTTGGTCCCACAGTGTTCCGATTTTTTAACTTGGACTGTAATAATCTTGGTGGGGGAGATGTGAGTGACATGGTTTTTGTTATCCATGCATCCTCACATAATTTTTTATTACATTATCTTTTAATAATATCCTGTATCACTTTGACTGTATCTTCCTTCTTACACCTACAGACTAATATTTCAGTGGTTACTAAATCCATTAATATAATAATATTTAATTGATAGCAGTTTATGACATTAACCTTTACGTATCATGGCTTTTGCAGGTTTGGGCGTACCCGAGTTTTCCTCTCTGAGAGTGCCCTACATGCCTTAGAGAAAGTGCGAGAGGATAAAAGACACCAAGCTGCTACTTGCCTACAGAAATGTGAGACTTATTGACATAGTACATCTGTTCCATCAGTACCCTCTCTGGAGGGCAAATTATGAAAATGCTTGCATGGAAAACAGTTTTCTTGTGAAGTTAGTGTGACATGAAATATCTATTTGTCCATTATAATTTTGTTTTGTTCCATGTGTTTGAAGTGAATTAAGAAAGCATAAACCTCAACAAAAGGAAGAAAGGGCTAGGTAAGAAATACACAAACATTAAAATTGATCTTTATTACCAACCTCTTACCTGCCTTTATCTCCATACACCCATACCATATTAATTCACTCTCAGTTATTCAGTTTCCTAAGAACTTTTCAACACCACATGTTCATTCTGTACCCTTTGAACCCCCTGAACCCTGAAAAATACTTTTCAGGCTATCCATTCTACAAATATTAGGCTTCATTTGTTACTCCTCTGAAACTTCAGAGATACTCCACATTGCTACATGGTAGAGAGTAAAGAAAAGATAGTTTTTGATCTTGGTGGTACATTTATTCATATTTTGATTTTTTTTTGTTTTCAGGTTGGCGACGATACATATGCTTGAGGCAGTACAAAAAATATAATGCTGCATCTTGTACAATTCAAAAAAATGTGAAGAGTTGGCTTACCAGTCTGAAGTACAAAAAGCTAAAATATGCATGTGTATATATTCAGAAAAATATGAGGAGATATGTTACACACAAAAAATATATGAGATTGTGTAAAGCTACAATAACAATCCAAAAATATTGTAGAGGCTGGTCAGCTAGACGGAAATATGAAGCAATGTTGCAACAGGCAGCCATGCGACCTTACTCCAGACAATCAGTTGTGTCAATGAATAGTCTAGGTTATTACAGTTTGACTACCTCAACATCAATATACAGCTTGAACCCATCGCTACATGATGTGAGCCCATGTGACATTGCATTTGGTGACATGGCAGCAGTTGGTTTATCTGGAGAAGCATTGAAGGCCTATTTTTCTCCCGAGCACCACCGGAGGCTTCTGGAGACTGAGGAGTCAGGTATCGAGACTGATACAGAAAGCATTAATGGTGATACTGATCAAGAAGCGGGGCGAAGATCACGGAAATTGCGTCGGAGAGCACAGTTACGAGACCTGAGAGCTAGAATTCAGGCTAAGATTAATCGTGTAGCAAGCGAAGAATCTTTGGTTGATGTTCCTAATAAATCCCTCAGTCAGAAATTAAAGTTGGAAGATTCAAACTGTGAAGTTGACGGTGAGGCAAAGCCCAGTCTAGGTTTAGGGAAGTCTGAGAAGCCAAAGAAAAGAGAAGAAAATTTGTTTCCAACTACATTTTTCAAGAATACCAAAAATTCTTCAGATGAAAGGGAAAGAAAACAAAAACCCAAGACAGACAACATTAGTCAGAGGATGAGAGTGGCCACTATGAGAACTATTCAAGAAGTCTCAGGAATTCTCAAAGATTACTCTCCTTCCGAAAGTTTGCAGATGGTTTTACCAAAACAGAATCTGTCACTTTTCTTCAAGGATGGAGTGCTCTCATACAGACGTATGCCTTTGGTAGGTATTCCTTACAGTATTGGATGAGTTTAAGAAAAACATATTAGAAAAAGAACAGAATTTTAAAATTGTAGTATGATTTTTCAGTAATTCAAATTATCCACCAAATGTGCTTAGTGTGCATTTGGTAAGATGTTTATGTAAATTAATCAGAACCCCCATATTTGTATATTCATGGCAAATTATATTAAGAATATGTAATAAGAATGACTTAATATTTACTCAAAGAAGACCTTTGGGACTTGTGGGAATCTCATGAAAAAGTGGAACTTGGAACTTCAAAATTTGCATCTACTTCCTCTTCCCTTGTCCCATCTTTGATCACACTGGGAATTACTTTTAAATTAATTAACATAAAAGAATGACCATGAGCTACTAATGGATAGGAGGTACCATTATAGTAGGCAAGACAGTCACCCTCTATCTTTATTCTTTTGAAATTGATGTTTTTTTTTTTATAAGTACAGTAGTTGATGTGTTAATTTGAATTATCATTATATACATCATGTTAATACACATTTTAATCACAGGTTGCGATCAAGTTTCACACCCGTCCTACTTGCCTGCCATTTTCCCACCACCTCCCTTACCGTGAGCAGCCACACGGCCTTTGGGACGCCCTCCACTAACTGCTGCTGCCTGAAGACTCCATGAGGACGAAACTACATTCCGTCCACAGCCAGAGATGTGGGTGGCTGGTGGACTCAGGTAGTGAAGCTGGAGATTATGACAGATTATATTGATTTTTAACTTTTTCATTGACATTTTAGGTCTTTTAAGTTGCAATGAAAGACAGGGTTTTCCCTAAAGTGGTTACCTATTGCTGGACCTGTACACCACTAAGAATGCGCATGTAATACAGTACTGAAAATAACGTATCAGTAGCATCCTTGCATAACAGTGTTCATATATCTCTCCCTGTCAGTATCTTAGTGTTATAAAGTACATTTGCAGATAATTATTATGGAAATTTCTAGGTTCTGACTGAGGCTCTTTAGGTCTTATTGTCAAGGAATTCTAGAATCCATTATATGGTACAGGCACTTCCTGATTTATGAGAGGGTTACACTCCTAAAATAGTTCTAGTATATTGATATTTCATAAATCAGTGCATATTTTCCCACTGGCTCTCATTATATAACAAGAGGTATGTTCTGTATGGGAAAATCCCAGAATGTAATAAATTGACATATAACAAGTTTTTAATGAGAATTTTGGTGGTAAATAATGATTATAAGCTACTGATAAATATAATGATATGGAATTACATGCAGTAATTAGTTTATATAATCCACATTAAGTATTGTACTTAAGATAACCTGGAGTGTTTGAGACGCAGGTGATGGTGTGGTTGGAGGGTGGTGTATGGTGTTACTGGTTCCTGTTACTGACATTATTAGGTTTAATACTGGCACCACAATCACCTGAACTATGTTTGCCAGTCATTTGGGATATGAAGGCACAATAAAGTCCAAATATAATGTGAGCAGTACTTTGGTGTCATCTTCCTAGATTCAGTGAAGTGCAGAAACATGCTGAGGTAGTGTGAAACGCACTCGCATCAAACTGAAATGTACTGTACGCAGAGGGACAATACGTACAAAACACCATTAAAATGGTTCAAATAGGCACATAACGATAATGTTGTAACTGCCATTTACAGCAAGGTGGACTGAATTCTTACCTGTATGGTATTTTTTTTCTTTTTATACCTTAGATTTTATAATGGGAGTATGGGAAAGTGGGATCCAATTTATGACAAATTTGTTTATGAAGGATTTTTCAGGTATGGAACCCTTCCATAAATTGGAATGTTGTACCTGTCACTAGATATAAAAATGATTATTACTGTACTTAGTAAATTCTTTTTGTGCATATAGATAATGAATACTGTTGCATTACTTAATGGACCACAAAATCTGACCGGTACTATAAGAAGTGCCATGTTTCAAGTCATGTGATATGGTGTATTTAATTACTTTTCTTAGTTTTTTAATAGTTTTGTGTAGTAGACAGTTATCATGATCATTTCATGGAATTTACTCTCGTGTACTTTAGGACATCGGTAGTAAAATGTGGCAACTTGTTAAGTTTTGAGGAACAAGAAGATTCTCTGAAGAAAATTATATAAGCAGGATCTTATGCAGCTGATATATAACTTCAGATACAACATTAAAATCTCTGGTGGCTAAAATTTATTCACAAAATAGATCAGATGGTTGTATAATATTGATCACTTCAATTATGTTTAAATTTAAAGTATAATTTATTGACTAAAGGACTAGAAGATTGTATTTTATCACCTCGTTTTATGTCCCGTACAGGTATGTAAAATAAATCCATCTAACTATCTGCCTTACTCTCAAGGAATAAGACTAACATCTCCCACCCTGTGAGACATTCCTGACAACCTCCAGAGACACAGAATGTTGATCCATATACTATCCATATCTAACAGTATCTGTTATTCGTGATATTACGCCAAGATACCATTCAGCCTTTTTCCGGCCATTCAGCCTAGGTTGCTGTACTTTTTGCGGTAATGTACTTGTGTCAATTCTATGAAGCAAAGTGTATTTCATATACAGTACTTTCTTAAGTAGGAGAATACTTAGTAGTTGTTAAGTGTTTTAATGATATATATGTTATATTTTTATTTAGAGTTCAAGTTACTGTTGTACATGAGAATTTTCAATCATTAAGTCTGGATCAATAATATTTTTAGATTTTATGCCCAAGAAATTGGGGTTTGACCTATTAACAAAATTTAATTTTCAAAGAAACCTTTTATCTAGAAGAAAGAGACATATCAGAGTTTTAATGGTGTAAACTGTAACTAGCAGGGTACCTAGAATGACCTGTGTTACTGTGTAAGACATAACAGCTGCTCAAGTAATGTTAAAATAATAAACTGTTGTAGGTACTGTACTAAAAATTACCTATAATACCACTTAATGGCTGCAGTTAAGTTAAAGTGTGTTTTATATTTGTGTCTCAGATGATTTATTTGTTTTGTTTAAATTTATTATAAATTTTTATATTTAGTTAATGACAGTATGGCTTGTCAGTTTAATTGGAATTATTAAGTTAACTCTCCAGTATGATGAAAGAACCTGTATGAATGTAGACCAATATACCATCCCATGTTGTAAGTTGCACATTTTGCAACCATGACTCATTTTGTAAACAACTAATTCTGAAAGTTCTTTACTCCCATCAGCTAGGATTTAATTAACCATTCTCTCTTCATGTAATCACTATATTCCAGTACCTTAAGCTATTAGAGATTAATATTTAATACTCATATTCATGTTGTATCTTCCATCTCATTCACGAGAACTAATACTATACCCGTCAACATCTCAACCAGTAATAGCAGGTTGAGTTGGACACTAACGATATATCACCGTGTACTGATTCACCAGCAACCTAATCTGCTATAGCTCAGATGTTGTATTAAAGAAGGTTGATATTTAATTAACAACATTTAACAAAGTAATAGAAGGAATACGTAGGGAAAGTTTCATTTGCAAATTCACAGTACATTAGTTGGTAAAATAAAACCTCCAGGTAAGGAAAGCAAAATGACAACAAATGTATTGGTTAACTACAGACAGGCCTCTTATAGTGGACAAGCCACATTTCTGACGAGTGTCTGATAAATTATTAATCTGTTAAAAGAGGTCTCTACAAATGCCACAGAACGACTGACTCCTTTGGGTAATGGTAATGGCTCTGCAGATGTTATGAGGATTTTTTCTACAGTTGATAAAATTAAATTCAATCAACACTCACCAGTTAATTTTATTGGAGCTTCCCATATTGTTTACCACAGTTGCCTTACTCCTGCTGCACCCTTACTCACTCTTCTGTGTTGCTTGTATTGTCACATCTATACTAATGACTTTCCTGAACACTTACTTACAGGCTGTTTTCCAGACATGATGGCTTAAAATTTTCACTTAACACAAGCAGGAGATCGTGTAAAAGTAAAGAGTACCGAGACAAAACTGCTGTGAATTTTGGCAGGTTGTGTATGTGGAGCACTGATTGGCTAAGAAGATGTAAACAAAAGGTTACAGACATGTTAGTTGGTTTCTCTACTTTTTGTTTTCTTTTTTAATGATATACTAATGTGCCCTTTCTATTGCACTTAATGACTGAATAGTTTTTCATGTCTGTTAAACAGAAATATGTTAGGTGAGGCACCATAATAAAAGGTCTGTCTGTATAGATTCATAATTGTAATTTATAATTACAGATTGTAATTGTTTTAAGTACAGTGCAGTACTGATGCTTTGAGAGTGAAAAACAATTCAGGAATCAACATTATTTCATTCATAACACCACCAATATCTTAGTCTTCCTTATTCAGAGGTTTTAGTGTACTGTATTTCAAATTAGAATTACCAGTATGTATATTATACTGTATATTGCCTGATTCGTGTAGAATTGTAAATATAAACTTGTTGGTTGTACTTATTGTATCTCAGTAGTAAAGGTGTTTAATGTTTTGCTCTCAGGTATGGTAGCAAAGCATTATAACACAACTTGCAGTGGGTACTTTTTGTTGGTAAACAGGATATATATTTTGCATTTAGTTCTCTTTAAGATATAGTACAGTATTTATATTCCATACTAAATAACATAAAAGTCACAGTAGTCTGTAAAGACTTTTAAGGTATTCGATACATTAACAGTTTACTTACAAATTGTTTATAACCAGGATGTGATTGATAAGTGAGTTTGTTTTAAAAGTGTCCTCTGCTACCATTGTGAATTACCTTATGAAACCAAAGTGCCATGTATTATACATAAAGGAAAGTGGTATATTGTATTTGTTTTGCTAATGTAAGAAATTTTTTATGAATGACTGGCTGATGTGTTACTAGATTGGATTAATTTTAGCTTCTTAATATATATATTTTGTTTCATAATATGTCATTTGATTGTTTACTTGAATAGAGCCAACAAATTATATTTCTTTATTGTGTCTTTAACTCATATTTTGTGTTGTCAAGGAGTTGCACAAGATTATATCTCAGACTTATAACAACAGTGGCAAGTAAAACATTGTAGAGTGTATGAATACAGGATCTTCAGTTTAATAATTTTTACACAAATTATTGGCAAGTTTTCAAAGAGCATATGTATACTACTGTAAATATCCTTTGAAGTGTTGGAACTTTCAGAATCTCCCAAGAAGCTAAGAGATATTTGCTGAGGAGTACAGTTGTATTGTAAATACGGTATAGTCCTGGCAGCAGAATTAGATTGGAGTGTTGACAATAATACTAGAAAAAAAGTAACCTTGGATCAAGATTTTGTCACATGTTGCTTAAGGTGAATGTTTATGTTACTTGCTGCAGTCGGCAAAGAAGTTGTAGGATTTTGAAGATAGGGGTAATTAAATCCTAGAGCTGTAAGTTATGGGGAATGAGGGTAGTGAGAGGGGCGAAATAATGGTCGACTGGGTGGTGAAGTTATAATAGATAATGAAAGATATGATAGGAGGACCAAAAATTTTTCAAAGATTATTCTTAGTTGGTGGGGAATGATGAAGTGATAAGGGGATATGAATATGAAGGTGTAATAAAAACTTGAGAGTAAAGAACTCTTGGGAATCGTTGAGAAAATGAGGTTGTAAAATCATGATTAACCACATGTTGGGAGTTGTGAAGTTTAGTCATCCTTTACATCATGCTCACTGTGGTTGATATGTAATCTTTCTTATCTTTTGTCATTACAGGTGCAACATTTCCATATAAAGAGAGGGCAACTACTGTACAATTTTCTATTAAAAGGCAGCAGCATTTTCCATGGCATTTTCAAGTACACCATCAAATATTGCAAGAATGACCTTTTGAATGTTTAGATAATTTATATCATGTTTGTGCAAAGGATATCATATTATTGACTGACATTTGTGATAAGGGTAATTATTACATTTCCCCGTGTTTATCTAAGGACACAACAGCCATGATACATGGTAGACATTGGTTGACTTAGAATCTTCCAGGAATATTTATTTCTCCCGTGTGAACATTTTCGTGGCTGTAATTTTAATGTTGTGTATTATTGGTGCTAATTATGTAAAGTTAACCTTTTGTAATGATCAAGTATATCTTGGTCTAAATTTACCTAAAGAGCTGTATGATGCATTGATAAATTTTGTCATACATTAGATATAAACTAGCTTTATTGAAGGGAATTTTGCATTTAATACAAGCACTAATTTAATGTAATATGAGGCTTTATTTGAAGTTTTGTCTTTAATTGTGAAGGTATGATGATAGTTAACTGTGAAGTTTAAATTACACTGATGACTGGTTTTGCTAAGCAGTTAGAGGAATATACTGTAAGTACAGTACTCAATTATTCCATTGTAAAAACAAACAAACATTGAAACCATTGCAGTGTTAAGGTTTTGATAGACAGGAAGAAATGCAACTAATGGACTCAGTACCATCACTTTTGCATTTGTTTTGAGACACCTAACTAGGGTCCACAATGCTTTTTGAGTGACAAATGAATTATGCGAGCAGCATGAGCACACCATCAGTTGACATACTTACTCAAGTGTACACCAAAAAAAAAAAAAACACTAAATTTATTCTCTGTTGTAAGTCAATAGATCATTTAGAAAAAAATATGGTTGTGTCTGTCATAAAACTGGCATCCAAACCTATAACTTCAGGATGGGGAACTTGATGTAAATCATATGGGATTGTTTTTAAGGGCTATTGTACTTGGAATAATAATTGTAATCCAACATAGCTGTAAAATTTAATGTGATCCGCTATAAACTGAGTATACAGGAATAATTTTCTCAGAATCTATTTTATTGTCAATATCAATACTGTAGCTGCTAGTGTCACTTTGATGATAAATTTATTATTTTAAATTGCACAAATACCTACAACTAAATAATTGAGGGAAGTAGGATAATGGAAAGAGCAACAAAATATATTATTTATTTTGATATGGTAAAACAATTAATAAATATTGTTGAGTTGTATCCCTTGTAGTTAATACTAAACAATACTGTACTTGAGATAATACTCAGTAGTGATCGTACATTTCTTTCTTATTGTACTTAATTCTGCAAAGACTTCAGTTACAATAATTATATTTGCTAACATAATTCCTCATGCTATGAAATTTTTGACACTAAGATTAATTACAGTGAGGCTTCGTTATTAACCAGGTAATTTCTTTCATGTTTCCAGTAATTAACACTTTATATTTTACTTGACTGTCCAACCATTGACATTTGAAGTTGGTTTACTATTACGTATATCCCTCAATAAGGACTCTTCAGTATTTTGCCTGGGGACACTTAGACACTGAAATGATACTTGAAATAATATTTAAGAATATAAATACAATTATATAAATTACAGTAATGGCATTTGTTAATTTGTAATTTTTGTAATTGTAATTTATATTTATGCAGTCTTTTAAATAATTCTCTTGAAACAGATGCCTCCTCTTTCTTTTTTAACTTATGTAGGTGTCATTGAGTTGATGGTTTATAATATTCACATTCTCAAATAAACAATCTCAGAGTTTTCATGGATAAACTATGGCAAATAAAGACATTACCTGTAGAAAGAAGAAAGTAAATTTTTTTTAATGAGCTTTCAAGTGAACATTCCTGAGAGACATTAACAAAAGGTTAACTTGTCCAGTCTTCTCTTAATTTTGGGGTTTATGTGTAACAAATTAAATTTAATAATTATAGACTTATGGAGTGAGGAAGGTGAAGGATATTAACAAGCTGTATACATTTCCAAGTTATGATTATGGTACATATCATGTGACAATATTGTAACTGTGAACAAATGTGTTTACTGAGATTTTGAAGATACATTAATATTGTAATTATTAAAACAAAGCAAATGTTGGCAGTGTTAGGTTTTGATATGTTATACTGTAGTGCAAACTGTGTTGTCAAAATTAATGTAAGATGTACAGTACAGTATTGCAATCATAGAGTAACATTGTTTCAACTTTAATGTTCAGTGTTAGTGTGTCTCCTGACTATGAAATTAAGGTTAGCTTTAATGGAATACTTATATATTTTGTATAGTTTTTCTATGTGTGTTTGGTTATAAGTATGCTTGAAGGAATGGCAGAAAGTGGAGAAAAGGTGTTTAATGTTAGAATCTTTTATAATGGGTTTTATAAAATTCAAATTTCTGTTGAAGGTATACCACAGATTCTTCACAGTTTTAGTGGAACTTCTAGTTTTAAATATGCGTGAATATTATGGAAGTGCTTCAGACTCTTGAAAGTTAAGTACTGTACAGGTATTTGATTTGATTCTGAATGATGACTGAATATTAGTGTCTTGTTATTAAGGCCTTTGGGATACCCATGTGCTAACAATGTGTAATATTGTTCAACTACAGTATCCTGCCCATCTCTTTATGTGCTGTATCTCTCATTTTAAACAGTTCAGTGTATTACTGGCAATGTTTTGACCAAGATGTGTACAATAATTTTTTGCATGGCCACTCGGAATATCTCTTAGTATCAAGTGGACATGGCCTCAAAATGCCCATGATATTGGTCAGATTTAAATTTTTTTTCTTGGTGGGCTCGCTGTGCTCGCCTTGTTCTCACACACAACTTCTTGGACCCCCTTCTATTCATATTCCTGGCTCCGCCCCTGCAAAATACTAAAACCCGTCAGCCCACTTACCCCTCCAACCCTCCCACCAAAAATCCTCCCACCATCCCACCCTCCATCCCAAAACCCACCCAACCCCCTAGCATCTCAAAGCCCACTAGTCCACATAAAACCTACCAACTAAACTAAAATATATCAACCTTTTTTACAACCTATTAACCCTTATGTATGCTTGTGTATTCAATCTTTTTTTCTGCTGCAATGTAAGATCATCTAAATTGTCCATGACACCTCGGTATTGAACGATTGAAAAGTGTCTGTTTTGATTAGGAATTTGATTATGCAGATGGCCATGCAAAGACATACGTAACATTTTATGCTTAAAGTGCGAGCCTCTACATAGGAGATGGATGGAAGTTTCTGTATATTAAGACTTGTACTGACAAAGGTAAGTCTTTCTTCTGTTGGAGGTACTGAATTTGTCGGTAAATTCTTGTACCTCTCTTTTTAATTGAATTACATTGTTGTGCTGACATTATCAATAACCATTTTTTGTTTCCTATACCATTATCTCTTTACCTTTCAAAATTATAATAGTAAATTGAATTGTATATCCCTTCTTTTATTTGACAACTAAACCTAGGTGTGTGTCTGTTTTACTTGAAATTAAAACATAATGTTTCTATGGTTAAATAGGTCATCATGTATACAGAAACGTCTTTTTTCAAGAAACTGTTACAATGCCAATAAGATGTACTCGTATATTGTAGGCTGTATGAAGCTCCTGAAGGATGTAGTTATAGGCTGTATGAGGCTCCTTGGGGATGTATGAAGCTTTTAGGGAATGTATGAAGCTGCTATAGGCTGTATGAGGCTCCTTGAGGATGTATGAAGCTGATAGGGGTTATATGAAGTTTTTGTTTTATATAACTGCTATGGGTTTTATAAAGATGGTATAGGTTCTAAAGCCCCGTCCACACAATCGAACAGTGCCCGGCAGACTTTAAAGCCTGTGTGTCGTCGTACACACGGAGGTGCTGGTTGGCAGCAGTCACACTCTGCCGCTGGTAGCTAGTAGGTGATCGGCAGTAGCTGCTGCGGTACGATCACCATGGTGTGTCGCAGGACAGTTAAATCAAAGACTATAGCGCTGTGTATAATAATTGCTACAGTGTGCAAAAAGAAGAAAAAACAGAAAAGGGAATGGTGCAAGGAATGGTTATCTCAACGAAAAGTTAAGGGAAGTCATGCCACGATTTTACGTGAACTGCAAGGTGAACATGAGAAAGACTTCACTAACTACATGAGAATGGACCCCAACACCTTCTATAGACTTCTCGCAGCAAACGGTCAAACCACCAGGCAGACAGCCTTATCTGGTGATTTCGCTCGACCACGGGCACTCCGTTGGTTTGCCCGTCAATTTTGCCCGAACAACGGGCATTAAGCGAGTGCCCGTCGGGCAGTGCTCGATCGTGTGGACCGGGCTTAAGAGGCTCCTAGGATCTTTACGACTCATGGCACTGTTAGGATGAGACTATATAAGGCTACTAAAGGTGGTATGAGGCTCCTAAGATGTATATGCATGTAGCTATGGGCCTATATGGTATAACTGCTTCATCCCTCAGGAGTTTCATACAGTCTATACAGATTCATACATCTCATAGGAGCACCATACAGCCTATAGCAGCTTCATAGAGTCTATAGGAGCTTTATGCATCCTCCAGGAGCCTATTACAGCCTATAATAGCTTTATACACTCCCTAGGAGCCTCACACAGCCTATAGTAGCTGCATACATCCCCTAGGAGCCCCATACAACTTAATTGCAGCTTCATACATTCCATACGAGTCCCATACAGTTTATAGCAGCTTGGAGCCTTATATATCCCTTAGGAGCCCCATGCAACACATATCCACTTCATACATCCCCTAAGAGCCCCGTACAACTAATGGCAACGTCATATATCCCCTAGCAGCCCCTTACAGCCTATAGCAGTTTCATACATCTCCTAGAAACCCCATATAACCTATAGCAGCATTATACATCCCCTAGGAGCCTCATACAGCCTATACCTGTAGCATCATCTTATATCTCCTACAGTCAGTCTGTGAGAACCTTGGTCTCATCATATCCACTGAGAAAACTAAAGTACGTATTTAACAAACAAGCTGGTAACTGCAAATGTGGGCCATCAAAGCTTAAGATAGATAACAATAGAATTGACTATGTCTCTTCTTTTCAATATCTTGGTGTCCCTATCCCTTGTACCTCACCTGTCAAGAATAGCTAGCCCGCCAATATAGTGATAAGTTAAAATCCCTTAAATATGTAGCGGGGTACAACCCACATTTTGGCGCTAATATCACATTTGTCCAAACAATTGATAAGCTCCAAAAAAAAATACATATATAATAAATAATGCCCTTAGAATTATCTTAGGCTGTCCCATGAGCACTAAAGTACTTAATATGTGGAAATAACTAGGTATCCCCAGTGTTAAAGATAGAATAATTCAAGTTAACCTCATTATAGCCTTGAGTCTTTTGCGTGGTGATCCAGATAACATTGCTTCTAAGAAGTTGTTAGAATATAAGAGTCATGAAACTGGTGAATCCAAATGGATCCAAACTACAGCTACACATATGAGGATGTTTAGACTGGAACATCTGTACAAATCCGAGACACAGCAGGGCTTCATGCCACCCTGGCGGGCAGTTCCCTTCGATATCACAACACCCACGCACCTGCCTGAACTTGACTGACCACACATAATCCTTATCTCCAACACATTGCCAAAGTGAGAGCTCTTCACCACATACATAACATTGCAGACTGTAAATAGCATCACACAGACCATCTACACTGACGGCTCTCTTAACAGTGTCTGTTGGAGAGCTGGAAGTGTTGTCATTGTGACTCAGCCTAACGGTAATGTAATAAAGGAGCTAGAATTAGTAACTGGGCACCCACTCTACAAACTGAGCTATTTCCCATACTCACAGCCCTTTAACTTGTTGAAGACAATGCCACTGATAGTCTCATCATCATTGACTCCTTATCTTCACTTCTTGCTTATGATACCCTGAACTCAGATTGTCACCCACTTGTCTCTGAAGTCAGACACAAGCATTTGTTGACGGGTATCAGGATCAAGCTGCTGTGGATCCCCTCTCACATAGGCATCAGTGAACATGATAGGGTTGATGCCTTATCCAAGGATGTGATTTCTCCGTTTTTTTCGGTTTTCCGTATTTCCCATCGTTTTAGGCGACCCATGTGAATCGCGTAGTGAGAAAAACTTGGGGGGGGGGGGGACCATAACGAGAGAAATGTTTGACAATAAATAAATAATAATTGACCCTCTAGGGATGATGGGTCTGCCGCCCTAGGAGTCCCATACAGCCTACAGCAGCTTCACACATCCCCTAGGAACCCCATACAACATATAGCAGCTTCCTACAACCCTAGGAACCAGCATAAAGCTTACAGTAGTGTCATACATCCCATAATAGCCCCATATACTTTATGGCTGCTTCATACATCCCATAGGAGCCCCATACAGCCCATAGGAGATTCATATATCCCCTAGGAGACCATATAGACTAGCAGCTTCATACATTCCTAGTAGCCCCATATAACGCCTCACAGATCCCTTAGGAACCCCATACAACTAATAGCAGCTTAATAAATCCCCTAGGAGCCCCATGCAGCCTATAGCAGCTTCACACACCCCCTGGAGCCTCATACAACTAATAGCAGCTTAATACATCCCATAGGAGCCTATAAGTTCTTCATATAATTTATAGCATCCTTATATATATATATATCCACTGGGAGCCCCATACAGCATCTTCATTCATCCCCTTGGAGCTTCATATAGCCTATTAGCTGCATCAAACATCTCTCAGGAGACCCACACAGTCTGTAGCAGCTTCATACATCTTCTAGGAGCACCATACAGCCTATTGCATCTTCATACATCTTCTAGGAGCCACATATAGCCAACAACTGCACCATATATCCCCCAGGAGCCCCAAACGCCCCGTACAGCCTATAGCAGCATTATATATCCCCCAGGAGCCCCATACAGCTTATAGTATTTTTATACATCCGTTAGAAGCTTCATACAGCCTATAGCAACTTCATTCATCCCCTAAGAGGCCCATACAGCCTATAGCAGCTTCCTACATCCCCTAGGAGCCCCATAAAATTTATATCAGCTTCATACACCCTCTAGGAGCCCCATACAGCCTATAGCAGCTTCATACATCCCCATACAACTTATAGCAGCTTAATATATTCCCTAGGAAGTTTATACAGCCTATAACAGCTTCATACATCCCCTAGGAGCTTTATACATCCCATAGAAGCCTCATATGTGTACGTCATCTACTGTGTGTATGTCATGTATTGTGAGTACTGTACGTCACCCACTTCACGAGCTACTGTTATTATTATGTCCAAGAGTTGCCCTGTGTTTAGACTCGCTACATCGTATAATAAAAGTTAAAAAAAAATCACAATTCATATAAGACTGAATGTCAACATGTTGAAAGGAATTACGTATAGTGTTTAGGTTCTAAGAAAAACCTATCTTGCTTCATAACGCAAGAAATCCCAATCTGAACGTAGTAAAATTGTGCCTTGGTTGTGAGCGGATCCCGCATATATTACGGGTAAATTTTTTTTCATTCCCACGAAATACAAAATTGCATTAAATTTATCTAATCTTATCATAGTTATATTAAAATCTAAGATAATCATGGTCGCAATTAAATCTGCAAAATTTATAAGACAACAGATAACAGTAGAGGAAATTGTTCGTCTGATACCTTGAACTCCTTAAAGATATCCGGACGTTTGGCGAGCTGTCATCTTAGTGAGACGGCTTGTGGGAAAATTTTGACTAAAGAGCTTTTGACGGATACTAAGCAGTAGTATGGTTATACGCATTGTAGAACAAGTCTTTTGGCGGTAAGCAAGTGAGAGCGCGTGGCCAGCAATGTACTCGACCGCCTTCACTTATCCAAATGTAAAGTTAGGACAGGTACGCATTCACAGCTGGGTGGACTAAGGGTACTCTAGGAACGAACCAGCGACCATTGGGCAGGAGATGAGCTTTGTATCCACTCGGCTGCAGCACCTCTTAACATGTCATCTGTCACCGTCTGTCAAACATAATTTTCTTTGCGAGTCAATGAAAAAATTACCGAAGATTTTATGATTGGACACTTCCATCACCTCTTGTGCTGCAGCATAGCTAATTTTGTACAGTTTTATGGAGGACCCCGCACACTCACCCAGCACCATAATTACTAATGTTATTCTGGTGTGTTTTAGCATCACCAAATGACTTATAGACCGACACAGCCACCCCAACCATCACTGGACTATGACTGTGTACAACTTATGTCATAAGAACGAGTAACACCCTCTTCACCCCTCATCCCTCCTCACCCTCCCTCACCCCTTGACGCCAGACTTAGAGGGGACACAGCAATATGCAAATTAGAGAGGCGAGGACAAGGCAGTAGAAGCCTCGCCACAATTTGACTCATTTTTCCCTGCCATGTTTATCAAATTACTTTCCAGGGTCTCTTTTCACGCGGG